AACCCACCGGGAGGCCTGAGAGACAGGCAGCAGCCAAGGCAGATCGTGCTTTGTCCAGGCTGTTCTCCTTCCCAGCGGCCACGCTGAGAGCCAGGCTGTTTGGCCAGGAGCCCGTGGGCTGACCTTCAGGAGAAGAGCTGCTCCCCACCAGCCATGACCACCACCCTTCTGCTGCAGTGGTGCCAGGTGAGAGAGATGCTGTGAATCCAATGAGTGCAACCCTTCTTCAGATTTGGGGATCCTGGTGGGTTTTACACCGTGTCTCCTCGGTTTCTGGACTGCTTTTTGACCCAGGGGGTGCTGAGGGATGGCCAGGATCCCCTGCTAATCAGAAATAAAAGCATTCCTGCTCAGCCTCAAAGCCTTTCCTAGGGCTGGTGAATCCAAGGAGATGCCGTGTTCAGAAGAGGGAATGTTAAGGCAGCAGGAGAGACTAAGGCACATGGGGCTAGAGGCTCCTCAGTGTGCGCAGCCGTGCCCTTTCACGGGAGGCTAAGCACACGCCTTGTACCCAGCTGCAAATTTTGAATGTTTTCTGGACCTGACCATCTGCATCCTAACCCTAACAGAGGCTCCAGGGCACGACTGCGATGCAAATAATGATAAATAACAGTAATAATAAAGCACCACCAGTACTCGCCGGCTCCCTAGCAATTCCCAGCCAGCACTGCAAGTTTGTTATCACCCATGCTGAGAGAGCCCCAGGGGCTCCGTGGTGGTGCTGTGAAGGCTGGAGCTGGCACACAGCCTGGCACAGGAAACGTGGGTGCTGTGAGTGACCCACGCTGCTCAACCAGGCGGCCAGGGGCTAAAGCCCAAGGACAAGCGTTGCTGCTGCACCGTGGGCTTGCTCCTCAGGCTGATGGCTCCTTTTTTTGGCATGGCAGCTGGTTGAAGCTGGCCCCTCGGCCACCAAAACCTGCTGTTGTAGCTTTAGGCAAGCTCAGCCTTCTTCCGTCTATTCAGCATCGAGCAGCAGAACACCACAGAAGGGAGCAGATGGGTGTAGGGAATTATTAATAACCAGGCTTCTCAGCGTTGCTTGCCATTTATTACAGTCCCACTTAACAGAACATGCAAATGGGCATACTGGGACCCACTAACCCAGTATTCTGTGCTAGCTGCACTGTACGGCCCGTGAATAATAGTCAGTGCTTAGAGAAGGTGTATGTGGAGAGGGCAAAAGCAGACTGATGTATCCTTACTGGTCAGCATGATGGGTGATAGCCTCGGCACAGCAGCTGCCGGTGGTTTATGGAGTTCGTTGCAGTCCTCAGGTGTGCTGTGGTAGGGATTTAGAGGAGGAGGAGGAGAAAGCAATTTTTCAGATGTTTATGGGAAGCCTTCTCCAGCGTGAGGGACAACAAGGCAGAAAGCACCAGTGAGCGTGTGTGAAAATACAACACACATGAGCTGGTGGAGGTAGGAGTTGGCACCTCTCTGGTGAAAGAGATGAGAAGTGGGAGTAGAGGAGGTGTAGATTCCCCCTTATCTCAGATTCCTGGGGGAGAGGTTTTTGGAAAGTGTGTGGATGTAAGCATCTTTCTACTCTGGAAAAGAATTGAGCGTTTTGGGGAGTGGGTAGGAGAGTATTAGAAAATCAAGCTGCATCTCCCTCCACTGCCAGCTGAAAAATCACACCGAGGCCTCCCAGGAAGGAGAAGTAGGCTTCTGCTGTACTTCATTGCGCATAATTAAACAGGACTCCTTAAATCTTGATCTGAAATCACAACGATGTGTGAAACTTATTTCGATAACTGACAAAGGAGGCATCACACATGTGGGCTTGAGTGCTGTGGAGGACCTGGGGCAGGTTAAGCCCGGGTGGCTGGGAAGCCAGGGAAAGGCTGGGAAGCCAGGGAAAGGTCATTGGGATGGTTAAGTGTGGTCGCCCAGGGCTGCCTGGGTGTGTAGAGCAGAGATCTTGGGCTGCTTTAGTGCCTGATTCCTAGCAGTACTATTCAATTTTTCCCAAGGGCTCAAGTTCCTATGCATATAAATAGGTCAGCTTTGCAAGGAATATAAATACACCTTTCACAACATCATCAGCAGCATTCGTATTCTCTTGTTTGCCCTGACCAGGCAATTCATATCCCACAGAAGTGTCCCTCAGCTCCCAGGTCTCTGCATCATTCCCAGTCCTGTCCAAGCGTTATTGGTTCCCACCAGCCCAGTGGGACTTGGGAACACTTCCTGGGCTCAGGCACAGGTTGGTGGCAGCAGCCTGGGAAACTTTTGAGAAGAGATGAGAGGAGGGGAGGGAAGAGGAGAGCTTTGCAGTTGGGCTTTTGTCACTTGCTGAAGCTAAAATGCCTGGAAGGACAACTTAGCTGGATTTTTTTTTTCTTCTTCTTTCTTTTCCTTTGCCACACTTCAAATAATTTGACGCTGAATATTTAAGACTGTTGCCTTGTCCTCAGTTCACCTCATCAGACCTCTTGGTCTTCAGGATCACAGCGGAGGAGGAGGCGAACATTCTGCTGCCTTGCAATGCCCTTGTCTGAGACTCCGTGAGCCCGCTGGCGACGGCTGCTCGTTAAGGCCTGCAGGCCACCCAAAGTAGGTTAATTTATTGCTCCTGCCTCATGCCTGGCAAGAAGCTGTGCCTGGTGAGAAGCTCGAGCGAGCTGGAAGGCAAGGCAGGCCTGGTGGGCTCGAGCTGCTAGGCCGGGGGCAGCATGGGGCAGAAGCTGTGGGCAGAGCGCTGGCAATTCCCATTTCCTCCCTGATGCAGGAGGAAAGAGACGCTATGGAGGGGGTGAGAAAGCAGCAGCGAAGCTGTTTCTGTGCCCACGGGTGGAGCAAGATGCTTCTGCCCCAGTGCCTGTGCTGTGGCTGCAATGTCTGCTGCCCACCAGCCCGCTGCGGGGGGACCTGCCAGCCGGGGGTCCCGCCGGGGCCGTATACTTGTTTTTCTTCTTGGTTGCATTACATAATGTGAGGTAGGAAATGTTTGTACAGTAGCTGTATTGGTCCTTGGGGCGAGGGGGGAGAGGAAGGAGGAGGTGGGTAATTTGAGGCTCTTTATTAGACCAATAAATCATTTGTAATGCATCGGCTTTCAGGCCAGTCTCTTATTGCCCGCGTCAGCCACAGCACATTATGTGGCCAGTGAAGCTGGTGGGGCACGCAGGGGCTCCCCTAAATTGCGGGACAGAGCCTAGCTGCTCGGGGCTGGAGGTAGGGCCAGGGCTCACCAGGGCAGAGGTCAGGACCTGTTCTCCTCACAGGAGGACAAATCCAGCACAGCTGGTGACAGGCATGAAGCATGCTGCAGCAGCCCAGCCCTGCAGCACCCAGTTCCCCGGGGTGAAGCACCAGGACTGGTGATAACAGAAGGGCCAAAGAGTGGCTGTGGACACCCGGCCTCAGGTGCTTCAGGTGTCCCTGGGCATTTCACCTGGCCTCCCCTTATCACCTGCAAGCAGAGACAGCTGCACATTGTAAGGATGATACCCTAATGCCTCTGGGCCATGATAGAAGGCTAGGCACATTTTCCTGGTGGTACTCCATTACAAAAGCAAGGGAGTGTCCCACACCGGTCATTTTTGTATCGCAGAATCACATAACATTAGGGATTGGAAGGAAATTTGGTATTTGGGAGTTTGGGCAGAGCTTGGTCCTTAAGGATTGTCAGGTAAAAATCTCATAGGTTTCCTGGCTGCTCTGGTGCCAGTGAGGTTGCTGAGAAGGGCTGTGCAGTCATGGGTGATGTTTTATTTTATTGAGTACAAGTTCTTTGTTTTTCACACTTCACAGTCGTGTCTGGTTCGATTTGAAATCATCAGGTTCTCCAAAATGATGCCTTTCAATAGCCTGCCTGTATTTCCAGGTACTTCAGAGCACGTCAGCTGGCCTAATGTTTTGACAAATGATACCTATATCCAGCTCCCTCCTTCTCCTTTCCTCCTCTCCCTCCCCCCCAACAAAGAAACCGCTTTTGATAGCTTATCTCTGGAGCTATGCAAACACAGCAGAGCAGATAAACTCCCCTTCCAGGTGAGTTCACCGGAGGGTGGGCTTCCAGGGCATCTGAACCAACACGCTCCCATGTTGGAGCAAGTAAATGTTTTTGGAAAGGGGGTGAGGAGGCACTGAATCAGCCTAGCATATATTGATGCTGTTGTGCTTGGACGTGAAATAAAACGAAACAAAACAAAAAAAAGCTGAGCAACTTCAAAGGAATCTAATGGGGAGAGGTAAATATAAAAATGGTAACAAATACCGTTCCCTGTTATGAAATACACATTTGGGGTGGGAGGAAATTGCATGGCACGCCTGTTTTTGTGCAATCTAATTTAACCATGAGCCCTTTAGTATTTTGTATCCTTGTGGACTGTTTGATGGAAGCAGCAGCTAAAAGCAAATCGCAGGGTGAGAGGGTGAGGCTCGCTGGCAAGAATTAGCGGTGTCAGGAGAGAAATATCACACACCTAACCAACTGAATTATGCATTATGCTGCAAAATCCCTGATGTCAATACACAAATGCTATTCCTGTTGTTTTGCCTATGATTGATAGCAAAAGAATTCAAATCACATCCACACAACAATTGTCCTAGTGTAACTAAGTCTCTCCTATCCGTGTGGGTGTGCTTGTGCTGGCAAAATCTATGCAATAAGGTAGGTGCTCTAGGAATGGGTTACAAAAGGACACTGGAAACATTTTCATATGTTCAACAATACAAAGCATTGTCAGTTTAGTGCATATTAATTGTGGTAACTTCTCCTTTTTCTCATGGGCACTGAGAATAATAGGCTAGATGTTACTCCAGACTTTGAGAGGAGTAGGAAAAGAAGTTCATACCAAGGCAATGAAAGTGATTTGAGACACAAACTTCCATGTAAAGACTTTTCTCTCCCCAAACAAGATAGGAGAATGGGAAGTAGAGCCAAATAAAAATGCCATCCCCAGTATAAAAGAGCATTGGGGTCAGCTGTTTATCCTAACCATGTGACAGGACCAAAAGGATTGTGAAAATATAAGTAATAAATGTTAACAAAGTTATTATTTTAATGAACACAAGATTATTAAAATTCCCTGCTATTAGATCTTGCTGGTGTGTTTGCAGAAAAGCAGATAACAAAGCTAGCAAATAGAATCTGCTTTGGTTTGCTTCTGAAGTTGCCTTTGCCCTGTTACCAGAAGACATCAATCAGTTACTAACCACATTCCCAGTCGGAGCTGCTGTGAGTGTTCACATGTTTAATCAGCCCTGCGTGCTTGCAGGAGGAATTGCACTCAGGTGAGCGCATGAGTCACACACAATTGTCTTGCTCATGTTAATGCCTTACCTTTCACAGAACCAGGATGTGTGAAAAACTGTTGGTGGTGGGGTTTTTTGTTTGTTTCGTTGTTGCTGTTTTTTTTTTGTTGTTGTTTTGGTTTGGTTTGTTGTGTGTGTTTTTTGTTTGTTTGTTTGTTTTTTTGAGCAAATAAAAAATTTGGACTGAAGAAAAGTGGACTTGATCTGAGGCTTAAGAGAACATTTTGTTCTTTGGATATCTCTTTCTCTTCCTCAGAATAGATCTTCATCTAGAAACAACATCACTTCAAGATGTTTGGGAAACAAAACAAATCAGAAGATGTTTTACCAGTGGCTTGCTGAATTAGAATAGTTACTGCAAAAATACTTTTTTTTTTTTCCCCTCTTCCATAAGTGGAGTAGACTGTCTGCTGAAGAAATGTAGCCCATCCTGAGTTATGGGCTCCATAAGGGATCATGTTACTGAAAAAACAATTCGTGGATTTGATTAGGTAGAGACCAAGAAGTCAGAGCCAGCTGAAAGCATCTCTCAAGGCTGGCAAAATTGTATTATACTGCCCTAGAGATGGAAGCGGCCCTGGGGCATCTCTGGGATGGACAACAGGGGAGATAGGAGTGTAAGAGCATCACTGCCCTCACAGAGACTCCTGGTGCGGCTCTGGTCCTGCCTGTAGGTTTGAAGATGAATCTAAATGGGAAGGAGCAGAAGAGTGGAAACGAGACCGTCTTGCACCCAACACGGTCTGCTGATCCTGAGGGGCTGGGAGAGACAGACTAAGAGGACAGGAGCAAGGTGCATGCCATCCAAACTGGCATGCCAGCCAGTTTGGGTACCATTACCACTGTCACATAGAAGACTTAAAATGAGCTTCTGCTGGGACGGAAGAGGTAAAACAACTCTGAGCCCTGCAAGGCTCCCCAGCTCAAACTGACTGCTGAAGAGCAGCAGCAAGAGGAACATGGGAAGGAGCTGGTGGAGGATCAGACCACAGAGTGTTGACTCTTCCCGGGACAACAGAGGAGGAGATGGCCCCTCAGCCAAGGAGCGCAGCATGTAAATGTCCTGGTGCCTTTGCCTGGACAGCCAGCAGAGAGCATGGCACTGGGGAAAAAATAAAACTCCCCTTTCCACTCCAGGAGAGCTCAATATCTCCAGCCTGGACAAACACCAGCAGTTTCCTTCCCACGCCGAGGAGCTACGCACCATAGTTGCAGGGGCAACTATGCTTGCTGCCTGGCCTCACAGGACTCTGCACAGAGGCCGTGGTGGAGGTGCTGGGTCTGCCAGCATCGTGCCACCGCTTGCTGCGGGCTCTGCAGGGCGGTCGCTGCCAGCCTGTGCATGGGCAGCTGCGGCCTGGCAGCCTGACACAGGCACACGTGCTCCTCCGCTGCTCCCGGCCAGAGCTGTCTCCTCTCATTTGGCCGCTTCACTGAGTGTCAGGCGTGCTGAAGGGCCAGAAAATACTGGGGTAATCCAGGTTCACCTGCTGGCTTCCCACCTCAGATGGCGTCGCTCTTGGTCAGATGTCGCTGCTGTGGCTTCCAGCAGTGTTCATTCTCTGTGGTCACTGCACATCGCTGCCACTCGGCCACCTGGAGATACCCCGAGGGGTTGTGCCACCTGGCAGTGCCTCCAAATGGACAGCGAAGAGCTGAGGGCACTCTGCAGGCAGGTGCTTATAAGCAGGAGGTAACTCCAAAAAATGAAGCCCTGAATGCGGTTGTTCCAGGACAAAGCAATCTCGGTGTTGGTGCTGGCTTCTTCCAAAAGCACCAGGTGTGTCACTGCAGCCTTTCCAACTTGTCTGTCAGTCCCTGAGCTGGACTCTCTTCACCTTCCACAAGGCAGCTTTTGACTCTGTAGACAGCCTGATCTTATTGTAAGGATTTGTGTGAGGAGTCCTATGGCTTAAATAAGGCTGCAAAATGACTGGCTGCATTTATCCACTCTATTTCAGGATCTGATTTGTGCTGTTAAAAGGCATTACACGGACATCCACCTGTCCCAGTGAGAGAAACTTCTCAGAGCCCAGGTTTCTCTCGGGATCTGGGCTGACCTTTCCACACCCTGCAGATACAGCTTTAAAGGCTCCGTCGGGAAAAACTCAGAAAATTGTTCCAAGCAGAGGCAAACCTGCAGGTCTAACCTAGCAGTCTGGCCATCTCCCACAGATGCAGCAAGGTGGAATTGCTTCCTATTTCCCCAGGGTCTGACAAACTTGTGACTTTGATGGCACTTGGAAAGTAAAGAAAAACAGAACCAGGCATGCGATCTTGCAAAGGAAGAAACAGCCAGAGCTGAGTTTTAGGTGTTCAAGGGTGGAGAATAATAAGGGCTGAGCAGAACCAGCTGCATCCTGCTGTAGGCTGGCGTGCTCACACATGCTATTCCCTCTCCAAACTGCAGGGTGCTCGGCCCCCTGGGTTTCTCACCAGCACTCATCAGGAGAGAGATGCCCAAAGGGAGCTTGCTTGGGTGCAAAACATGGCTTGTGCTGGCCACAGGTGGCCATGGGCTGCAAAGCAGTGAGATGGTGTGTGACCTACTCCAGCAGCTCCTGAGCCAGATATGGCTCATGTGGTCTGTGGTGTAAGAGTCACAAACAGCTTTGAGAAGACAGAAGACTCCATCCCATCCCTTTGTTAGGAGCGTTTTTATTTTTTGTTCTAGGGACAGTCATGCTACATCCAGAAACGTGTGTAATGTAGTTGTGAGGGGGGCATGGTAAATGCTGGAAGGGGAGATGTGGATGTGCTTGGAAATTGCCGGATGGACCAGACCTGCGGACAAAGTCGGGATGCTTTGATCCAGGTGCTCAGTGGAACAACCCTCAGTGGCCATCATACAAAACAGCGCAGAGCATGGATGCACACTGAGAGCGTTTTCCAGCAACCCCTTTGTGGGAAAGCTAAACGCATAAAACGCTTCCCTGTGACTGTGATCTTGCAGCAAGGATTTGCTCTACACCACTTCCCTTTTGCAATGAGCTTTTTTTGTCTTCACAAAAGGATTCCTTGGCAAAAGGCAGCTGCCAGCTGGCCAGATCTGGCCAAGGGGCTAACGGAAGCATTCAGCTCTACGCCGTTGCACCAGCAGAATTGTCTATTCAAGGAAAAGTCATAGTTTTGACTTTGGTTTTTCATCTGGGATTATTGCTCTAGGACCACTGCCAATATGATTTTTTTTTTCTAGCTAAAAGGGAAAAAAATCCTAACATGCTCAAAGCATCCCTCATCCTGGCTTGTACCACTGTTCCTCCTCCTCCCTTCACTCCTTTTGGTCCAAGCGGTCGCTGCCTTCTCAGTGTTGCTTTCCTGCTTTCATCGCAGGAGTGTAGTGAAACGGTGACCGACCATTTCATTGTACTCTTGTTTTTACATGGTGAAGGCGTTTTAACTTCTGATGGCTTTAACAACACCATCCTCCCCTCCTCTTTCCTTTTTTAAACCACCTCTAAACCTTAGGGATGGAACTGGCTGACAGGATTCCTTTAATTATCCTCCCTCCAAATGCTCATCTCTTCCACGGTGCCTTCAAGGGACACCACCATGAAAGGTGCTGTACACACAAGCGGCATGTCCAAATTGAAGCTGAGAACAAAAACAAAATGTCAAAAAAAAATCCACCATTAAAGAAATTAATAACAAATACACCAGGCGCATTTCATACGCCCCATTAGTCAGTAGTGCTCAGATACCATGGTGATGAGCATCCTATAAATATTTCCACAGCAGCAAAACTGCCTTAAAGGGACCACACAACAGCTGATGTGCACCTGAACGGAGCGCCCTGTGGAAGTCCTGTCCGTGCTGGCTGGCACCTGCGCCCCACGCCCAGGGAAGAAGCCAGCACTGTCTGTTTTTCTCTGCCCTGCCACAAGCACCGAGAGCAATTCAGCCCTGGTATTATTCCCAAAACTCTGTGATTTGACCCAAACACGTTGCTGGGCACTAGGGCAGTCTGCTCTTGGCTGTTCAGGGGTCTCTCAAAGCCATGAACACCACATGCATCAGCTACAAATCCTCAGCATCATGCAAGCTTTGTGCAGCACAGCCACCGCTTCTGCAGACAGCAAGTTGGAGCTGTGGCTCACGGGGAGCCCAACATCTCCTTGTTTATCCTCCCAGAGGCAAATGTTTGTGGAGCAGGGTGGCACCTGATCAGGTCATTAGGCACTTGGGAACTCACAGAGCAAAAAGAAGCTGAGCAAGAGCAATGGGGATGGAGGGGAAAGAGAAACACACTCAGATGTTTAGGGTGCAGCAGCCAGCTTCCACCCACGCAGGAGGAGAGCTTTGTATGTCCTGCCCTTGATGCAACCACCACCAGGAGTTTGTTTTCACAAACCCTACTTGTCTTGAAAGCTACAACTCACACCTCAGTACCTCGTCTGAGAAGAAAAGCATAACCCTGTTATTAATCTGTGGGCAGCATCACCTGGAGGGTGATTCTTCACACACCTGCTGCTGTTCAGAAATAGATGGAAAACTTGATATTGCAAAATAATTTCCAGAGAACAGCAGCTCCAATGGAAAATGGGGCATAAAAACAGAGAGAAATGATCCTGTGAAGAAAAAAAAAAAAAAAAGCTGAGCTGGCCTTGATGCTGAGAGCCCAGTTCAAGGTTGCTCAGAGCGCTGATACAATGCAGCTAGAAACTACTTGCAGCTACCTCCTTACAGATTTTCCATGTGGACAGGCTAGGGAGTAGGAAGAAAAATAAACAAAAAAGCTATTTCTTGCCTACTTCTTAGTACATCCCTAGCACCAGGGAATTGGAAAAGGGTGGGAATAGGACTTGATTGGGCTTGGGCCCCTCCTAGGACAGCTGTAGCTGGTCACTAGATGAGGCAGAGGAGGACAACTGAGGAGGGTATACATACATGCCTTGGTGCCTGTGCTGAGGTGTTTTTTTGGTGAAAGGATGAAGTTGGTCCCACAGGAGGATTTTGGGGGGTTGGGGATATAGCTCTTCTGATGAAAGATGAAAGAGTGGTGTTACATGGCTGGACTGGCTGTGGGGTGGGTGGAGATGAAGAGATCTCCTGCCCTGCTCGAGGAACTGCTGCTCATGAGCTCTGTTGCTGCAGGCAAGTCTTCCTCTCCTCCTGTCTCCCCCACAGCACCTCGCACGTTTTCTAGCTTAGTCCTTGCATGGTAGTTCCTGAGTGTGTCCCCAGTGCATTGTTTCCATTAATTACACTTCCTAAATGATATCTTAAGGTCCGGGGTGAGTGGTGATGTCGAAGTGCATGAGCAGCATGGAGACGTGGTGCTGTCCCTGCAGTGCTGGGGGATGACAGCGCGTTACTCGCCCGCCCTATTTACGCAGAGGCTAATCAGCTCTCGCTGGAGTTTCTTTCTGATCCCCGGGCCTATCTCGAGGGAAGCACAACGCCAGCTGACAAAACATGCATATTTTTGCTTTCAGAAACTATTACGCTTTGCTACTGTCACCCAGACCTTGAGCTTTTTGGTTGCCAGGGAAACCCAGCAGGAGACGACCTGCACACAGCTGCCAACTGGTGCCAAACCGGGACTTCCAGAAATGCCCACCCCAGTCTGGGGGATTTTATCTTGAGGAATAAGGCTATTTATGGTCCAGGAGATATTTCCTGCTGAAATAAGACCATCTGGGAGGTTTTGCTCTTTGAGCTGGAAGCACTGGCTAGGCAGTGGCAAAGCAGCAGAGAGACTTGTAGTGCTCCGATAATATCGGCGGCTGCTGGTGTAACCACAGCCCCAGCCAGATAATGTGAGGTGGAGTCCATGGGGGTTTTGTACAGTGTCAGCTCTAGGTTTGAAATACTCAGTCTCTCAGGAGCCATTGGCTCAGGTCATCAGAGGCTTGAGTCGATGTGGTTCTCTCCAGGTGGGATAGGTGGGGACCTCTCTGAGGCCCACCATAAAAAAGGGGTGTGCTGAGTTGTCCCAGAGGAACATCAGGGCCCACGTGCCTCTTTCCACAGCAAGGGGATCCCGTGCTGTTGTTCTCATCAGAAATACTTCTTTATGCTCCTTTTATATACTACGCCATGTGTTGGCAGGCAGATGTTGGAGAACCTCACTCAGATTTTCTCTGTGCCATTTAGGGCCCAGCCAGCACAGAAGATAAAAGGCGATGCTGCATTTTAAGATGTGGTGGTACTAAAAAGCCCTGCCTGTTTCTCTAGCCCCTGGATGTGACTGGTGGTGAACTTTCAGTGATGCTCAGAGGGCGAAGGATGCAGTTCATAGGATGCAGGCCATGGGCTCGTGCCCTGTGCTGCCACATGTGGTGGTGGTGCTTCTGATGAGGAGGAAGGGGGACATGCACGTGGTCCTGAGGAAGCCAGATGCGCGTGTGTTCCCCTTCTGGTGTGGCAGGATGATGCTTTAAAGATGTGAGCTGCAGCTCTTCCTCCTGACACTAAAAGAACAGGCTGACAAGCTGCTGTCAGGGAAATGCTGCCTGACTCCCTTTCCCCCAATAATTTCCCTGCAGTGAAACTGCAGTGCAGGGGAATCAAATAGTGACAGAAAACAAGGGGGGATAGATGGTTTTTTTTTCCTTTTTTTTTCTTTCTTTTTTTTTTTTTTTTTTTTTTTTCAAATGTGCATCTGTATTGGGAGCCATGTGCGCTCCAGTAAATCTCACCAGTTCAAAGAAATGTTTTTAGTGTTCACATCCAACCTTTAATGCTTCCCCCCCTCTGCTTAAGAAACAACAAAGCCTTGAAGATGCTCCCAGCTTGCATAGTATTAAAAAGACAACTTGGCTGAAGTGGAAAACAGCCTCTCATGTTTTCCTTTGGGTTACATGTGAAGAAAGCCACTTTGCTACTCTTTTATGTGGGGCTGTGAAAAGTCCCCTTTGCAAGGTGAGCTGTAAGTGGAGGGGGGGTGAAGGAGGAGGCAGAAGAGGGCTGGGATTACAACACATCCTCGTGGCAAGCAGTTTGTGCCCAGAGCTGCCTTGAAATAACCTTGGTGGATGCATTACCATTGAAACCTCCTGGCAGGCTACTTGCCTCGCTTGTTTTACTTAGGTAGTTGGCTGATGTTCACTGATGCTTTCCTTCCCCATCTCTACAGACTGGAGAGGATTTTCTGGGTGTGCAGAGGGCGAAGACGGCTGCAGCTTCCCATCAGCTCCATCCTGCAGGACTGGTGCCTCTCCTCATCACCCAGTGCTGGGGTGGATGTGTGCACGCATGGCTCTGCCACTGTGTAATGCTCACGGTATCTTTCCCTCTAAGGCAAGTTGTCATGACTGACTTTTTTTGAGACTTTTATTCTAAAAACCCATGTTTGTCATCCTAGCTCCTGCCAGACTTCAATGAGGGTCCTAATAAGAGTTTTTAGAGGGGAATTTCCCTTCTTGTCTTAATCTGACTCTGCACATACAAACAAATCTTTCATGGTTGTTGTCTTTCACATTAGTTTCTGTGCTTGGTAATGCATGTATCCTTGTATTGTTCATAACCCCAAAGAATTCAGCCATATCTGGATATAAATCCCATCCCACCTTCATTCCCCATGTGTCCTGCAGCAGGCAGGGAGCCACCATGCCATCCCTGAGCACCACCTGTCAGCAAATTTTTGGCAGGGGCATGGTGGTTTTGCTTCACAAAACCAGCATGAAAGAAGGGGTTAAGCTAATCTGGTTTGCAGGGAAGGTCTGAGAGGAGGTTGAAGGCAGTACCTGAGCTCTGAAGATTGCTACTCACCAGTCTTCAAAGCTGGTTTTATCCAGAAAAATGAGTTTGGGCTGTGTAGAACAATCTAAAAGCTTGACAGACTAAACAGGGAAGGGAAGTGGGGAATTTAGGGTAAGGGAAACAGTCAGTCAAGGGTACAGACAATGCCTGTGTGACTGCCTGGAGGAGTCTGAGGCTCTGGTTTAGCACACCTGGCAGTGTTGCTGGAGAGGACGCTTCTGTTCAGGGAGGGGATGCTGTGATATCCCTCCCCACAGCACACAAAGACAGAAAGCAGAAAGAACTGAGGAGGAACCACTCGTGTCCCTCAGGTCTGCAACCATGACAGGCTAGCCAGCCCTTGGTTAACATTCAAAGCAGAGCATCTTGTTGTTAGGGTGGACACAAATTGCTTTAAGGCAAATCTTCAGGATTTCATTTTGCGTTCCAGAATGTAACAGCTGCTCAGGCGAAGTTTTGCTCAGGAGCTGGAAGCCCTGCAAGGTTTTGCCCATGAGTTCTGGCTTGGGTCATCAAGGTTAATCTAAACAATTGTCTTGGCCTTTACTTCAAACGGCTTAGGTCTGTTTCACTTGGAGATGATTTTTGCCCTGAGATCTATAGGTCTGGATTTTCTTGCTTGTTTTTATTGTTCTTTTTTGAGGGCCTTCTGTTCTCAAAAAGACTAAATAAATAAATAAATAATAATAATGTCCTGGGGTAGAATGGCAGCTAGCTTTCTGCGCAGAGGAAGCAAGGCAGAGAGACTTAAAATACATTAAACACTTTTTTATAAGGTACAGCAAATTTGCTATCATTCAGTCCTCAGGAATTGCCTTGCGCAGGGGAAGAATTGATTGCATTAATGCCAGCTGTAACTCTCTTATTTTTGGTAACAAGGCATCACTAAAGGCAGATTAATTCAGAGCCACGCTCCAATGAGACCAGTGTCCTTTTGCTGGTTTAGGAATCCTCTGTCACCTGGGTTTTGTGTTCAGTGGTGTATGTCAGGAGCCGAGCAATGGCTCAAAGCACGCGCCTGTTCTGCTGCAAGAAGGCATGGGAGGTGTGCCCATATAGGTTAATTATCGAGGGACACCGTCTTCAAGCGCCGTCAGGCTGTTTTTGAATGTGATCGTGACACCTGAGAGGATGATCTTTGAGAGATCAGAGGGAGGAAATTATTCTATTGCTTTGCACTTCTGAGTGCAGTTTGGCTACAGTCAAATTAGCTGCTTCAGCCTGCGCTGTCAGCTTGCTCTCATCTCTTTCCTCTTGTTGTATTATTAATAATAAAAATTTTAAAAAATAATAAAATAAGCTAAATACGGTGGTAAAGACCCACCTGCATGGGGCAGGGCTGAAGCCAGCAACAGCCTGCAAGCAATTTTTGACAGTGACCAGCGCCTGAGCATCCCACACAGGGACGTGTCCATCCCTGGGGATGGCAGGAGCTGCCTGAAGGCATGTGGAAGGCAGGGCTAATAGATTTGAGTGAGCTCATCTGCTTCGTGCTCCCTGCCCTCCCTCCCTCCCTCTCTCCTTATGCAGCTGCTTTTAGTAATGAAGCTGGCAGCATTAGAAAGTCACCAGAAGTAGCCCAGCTGCCTCCCTCAGTTCACAGGGAGAGCGACTTTGTAGCTGCTCTCAGTCAGTCCATTAATTGCACATAATAAGGCATTTAGTGACAGAAGGATGGTTGATGAGCCTTAGCTGAAATAACAAGGGCCTGCCAAGAGCTGTGCTGGCTTTGCCGGGGAGGAGTGTGGAGGGTCCTAGCACTGAAGTGCAGATCCATGTGTCGACGAGAGCAGTGGCAACCTGCTGGTCCCTGACTTGCACGGCACCTCCGTGGCCCAGCACATGGCAGAGAAACAACACCTTGGTGTCTTGAGGCCCACGGCTGGGGCACCTGCAGGTTGTTAAAGCCTGGGCTGTTGTCTTGCAGCCGCCCGTGCAGCTGGCGCATCCCTCACCTGCGAGGTCTGTGCTAGCAGTTGGCAGGTGGTGTTTCTTCGTCTGCGTGAGCGCTTGGGAGTGTCAACATTTCTCCAGGCTAGTTTACTGTTCTTCTTTGCTATGGTTATTTTCTGTTAAACGTTTCAGTCCTGAGCAGCACTGCTTCTTCTAGAGCAAGCCCCAGCTCGGAGGCAGGCGCAGACCTTCTACACCACACTATCCAACAGCAGCACCTGCCTTTGCTTGGCTCTTCTCCCCTCCCGTGACCCTTGGAGGGTGAAGGTTCAGCAGGGAGGAGCAGGGCAGCTTGCTTTGCGGGCATGCCTTGCTCGTGTACGGCTGGAGCAAAGGAAGAGGGCAGGGGCTATGAACATGCAGCAGGGCTGAGGCCCTGAGCAGCACCCTACCCACTCCTTTTGGGTTTTGCTCTGCTTGCCTGTGCCTGGCAGCAGGAGCTGGAAAGCTCTCCCTCCTTATCCCTAAAGGCTACAGCCTCCTCTTCCACTCATAGTCTGGACAGCATTGCTCTTCTAGGATTTGTGAGGTTTTGCCTTAAGCTTTTTAAAGCCTGGTGACTTGTGGCAAACACCACCTGTAAGGCTGAGAAGCTCTGTAGTTTGAGTTTTCCTTTCCTGCAGGGAAATGCGTCTACAAAGCACCTAGCAGCTCAAGTCCTGGGTATATCTCAGCAGGTCTCTGCTGGGATGGAGGGAGTGTGTGCACAGAAAAGTGCAACTTTAGCTGGCAAATAATTTTGGTTTCTTAGGAAAAAAAAAAAAGGCGGGGTGGGGGAATGTTGTAATTCATTTGGTTGCTGGGTTTTTGGAAGTTTGATCAGGAACCAGCAAAATGTCCATTTTGGAGTGTTACCCTGAGTAGGAGCAGGGATGCTGGAGACAGTGTATGTGTAAAGAACAACCTGGCCCAAGTCTGTCACAGATGTGGACAAGGCTCCCCTGGCTGTGTGATCACTCAGGTGTCAGCAATTTTGGGTGGAGACCCCTGTTAGGAGGGTCAGAGACTTCAGCTTGGGCAGTGGCAATCCTGCTAGGTGCCTGGGCATGTACTCTTAGCTGAGTACTTGTTCTCATGCTGTGCCCTTCAAAGCTATCTCAGAGCCTGTGTTTTCTTTTAAACAACACATTCCTGAGGCTTTTCCAGAGCTGCTTGTAGAGGAATGTTTGGTGGTACCACAACCATCTTGGCTTTCCCACCTCTGCTGGATAAAGCAGACCTCCCCCCAAAAAGCTGACTGTGCTCCTCCTCAAAGGGCGACAGGGCACGGCCATGGATCATAGCCACATGGGCACAATTACAAATAAAAAACGCAGCATCCTGTCTTGGAAACCACTTAGAAAGGGGTCTGCCACTCCTCCCTGCCAGCAGCACAGACAGCTGAGCAAATGGTTGCCCAAAGACATGCACGATAACCTCCTGGCTCTCCCCCTCCGCTCCGCCTCCTGTGCCATGCCCGGGAGGTGCAGGATGTGAGCGCTGCACCCCAGCCTGCTGCAGCTGTGCACATCTCTGCCCCTGGTGTGCTGGGATGGTGTGCTCTCACCTGCTGCCCCGTGCTGCTATAAAACCTGAGCTGAAAAGGTGAAGCCTGGCCAGAATGATGCTTAAATGAGCTGAAAATTCAGATCCTTGTGCCTGTCTGGAGCACAGAGCTTCCTGGCATGAGGCTGCTCACGGTCAGACAGGACTATTGAGGAGAGCCAGCTCTCGGATGTGAAACCCCTGCAGGGAACGGTGATGATCTAGCAAGTGGCCCTTACCTGCTGATCCGTGCTGGACCTCTGCCCCTCACCGCTCTGGATCCAGCCGAGCTGCTGGAAAGGAGGCAGAAGGCAATGCCGAGGGGCTGACAGCTCTGGCCTCAGCCACGGGGCATGAAGGGGCACGTGGGCCTTTGGGTCCTGGCGGCCATCTAGCACTGGTGGCATCAAGCCACTCATCTGGGCAGGTCTGGCGGTGCCCCCTGCTAAGGTGAAGACAGACACTGCTGGCTGGGGCCTTCCTCTCTGTTGCTTGTAACGCTGCCAGGCTCAGAGAGTTGCAGCTGAGTATTGCCATGCCAAATGTCTGCCCCAGGCTAGCTTTTTCTCTCGTTCCTTTAAACAGAAGCTTCAGCTCAAATGGTTCAGTTGTTCCTCAGAGTGAGGAAAAATACGTTAATAAAAAGTCTCGCTATGCTTGAGAAACACAAGCATCTCCAGCCCCAGTGGGGAGCTCTGCTGCCAGCCCTGCACCTACCTCTAACACAGAGTGGTGAGGCACTGCCCAGCCAGCCGCCCCTGCCGCACACACTGCGTGCCTCTCGTGTTTTGGGAGCTGTGAGATGCTGGGCTCTCCTTTGGAGGAGCGTGGAGCTGTCTGAGCATATCAAGTGCTAGATAACGAAACTCATTACCTAGGCATTTTGTATAACGAATAGCAGCAGATCTGTCTCGGTCTCCCCTCTCTCTCCCTGCTCTCTTTTACAGGTCTGCTGTGAAAATCAGATCATTAATATCTGATGTGAACCCAGACACTGTAAACACGAGCTCAAGAGAACAGCCCATGAAGAGATTATTGACCCTTTCTTTGAGGAGCCTGCTGGCTAGGGCACAGAAGACGAGGGAAACAGCCTTGCTTCCTGAATGGCAAGGTTAAAATGATGCTGTGCATGTGTTCATCAGCGAGGCCCATCCAGCCCAGGTACTAAATCAGGTAGGAAACCCAAAAAGAAAAGCATGCTAATGAACAAAGTCTTCCTTCCCTCTTCGGCGTCAGCTGCTGTTGCTCTGGTCGGTGAGAGGAATTCTAGTTATTCGTTCCTGGCTGCCGGACCTTAGCTTCTGGGCTGTTGTCTCTTATTTGTTTCTGGTTGCCTGGCTCCTCGGAGTGACCTATCCCTTCCTGTGTGTTTCAGTACTCTGCTGTACAGACAATGCTCTCCCCTCTGCCACCAAAAAATGACAGTAGCACACCCCTGTATGTCTGTGCTAAGGCTGCCTACCAGCTCCTTTCTAGTCAGGCTGCCCCTCTTCTTCACCTGTGTGCGCTAATCCTCAGCTCTGCAGGCTTAACTGTTAATTTTCCACTAGCATATGTCTTCTGGGAAGTCCAGATGGGTGAGATCTACTGTCCCACCTTTCTCTAGAGAATTATTTCACCAAAACAGTATCACTGCTGCAGCACATGACGTACCTGCTTTAAAGCCCAGCTCGTGTCTGAATTTTATTCACCTTTGTCTTCCATGCAGGCCTTCCCTTAACACAAGGTGTTCAAGGCCTTCATGCTTAGATGCTGCCTGCATGCATGTGTGCCTATTGCATGCTGTCCTCCTGTCATCTAGTGCTGTAGCTCCTTCTCCCCTGTTTGCTAGGTTCCTGATGAAGCCCTGCTGCCAGCCCGTTGTTTCTGCCTTGTTTTGTTCATCTCTCTGAATGTTGATGTGGATCCTGCCTGCCCAGCCCCTCCGTGCACCTGAGCGTGGCAGCCCTTCAATCCCAGCTGGGAAGGTCCACTTCCAAGCCCTTGTTCCTATCTCCCCCTCCTTTTGTGCACCCCATCTTCCTCCTCACTGAGAACTCAGCCTGGTATTTCCTTCCTTTGAGAAGTCATCTCTCAAATTTTTTTGATTAACAACAACAAAAACACCTGAGTGCTTTGCAGTCTGCTGGAGAGGTGTGGGGCTTTCTCCCCGTTTAGCACTAAGATCACTTTCTACACCCTCTTCCAGCTGTCTTTTCAGCGTTGTCACAGCTGTAGAGGCAGTGAGCTGGGATGGATTTGTCTTGCTCGCTAGCATCAAAGGTGTGTATGACTCGCTTACTCATTATTCCCAGAGCGTATGTCCCAGAATTGCATTATCGCTCCCTTGCCACAGCTTGATGCTGTTCGTTCTTATTGAACAACCGGTCTGAGAAGGATTTTGGAGGTTGTGACGGAGGCTCTGCTTTCCAGATACAGCACCCTCGGAGGTCTGTCTGGCATTCCTTATTCCAGGAACAACTTTTTGCAGTAAAATGGTGCTTGTTTAAGCAGGCTTTGCTCGCTGAGCAGTAGCCTGCTTTGTGTGGTCGCCCTGTGCTCCTCATTATTCATCACTTGGAATCTTTTTGTCGTTTATGCACTGCACCAACCCTGAGATTTGCATTTGCTTTTCTTGTGATGAAAATGCTGAAAAGTGTCAGGTCTCAAGCAGCTCCCTGAAGAACCCTGCTAGAAATACTGACGTTTGAAGATGATTCACCACTGGCAATTACTGGTTGAGAACTGTCAGCCAGTGCTTAATCTGGTTAACGTGTGGTTTATTGATATTATATAGTGCTAATTTTTTAATCAGGATGTTGTACAGTCTGGTGTCAAATGCCTTACAACAGTCCTCCCTGAAGCTGACTTAGAGTCAGCCTTAGAGTCAAGTGGTAGGTGTGACAACTGCCAAGCAGATGTGTCATCTCATCGGAGAGGGCCAACAAAACTAACAGAGCCACTTGTTAAATATATTCCTGTCCTCTGATTTGCCATCATCTGAGACCCACTATGAAACTCTCAGGAACTTCATTCCCAGCTTGCTGGGCCTGTTGCTACCTCAGCGTGTGCTGCCATATCCCTTAGCACAGAAGGAGCTTCCTGGCATTTGGACTGATGCTTTTCTTCCTGCAGCTCTCCTCCACGTGGTGTTAGGATGTGGACTATCTTCAACCAGTGTACTTGATACTCAAGCCTGGGCAGCCCTCAGGGAGGACTGGACACATGGCAGATTGTCCTCAACATCCTCCATCTCCAAAGGCAGTTGAATGTGTAACCAGCTGTCTAATCCCCCTGCTCCTGCTGGTGCATGCAAGGCATGAACCTGGGCTCTGAAGAGCACTCAGTGCTATCAGGAGGCGTTTGCTCATCCCCAGACCAAACCTCAGGCTGCAGCCTGATGCACCCAACCAACTATCTCAGCTTGGAGAAGATCAGCAACACAACAAACTTCCCTGGCCCACAGTGGGGCTAGATGAGACCTTGCTTTGGGGGGCTCCTGGGGTGCAGATGGGCCTCTGGCTACTGCTCTGGGGTCTATGCTCTCCTCTCTGCAGCCTCACCACAGCTACACAACTTGCTGAGCGTAAATCAGCTGGTAATCACACCCAGTGATAAATAGTAAGAGACAGGAGTTCGTCACAAACAAATGAGCCTCAACTAACCTCATTTCCTTTTTTTGACAGGATAACAAGCTTAGAGGATAAATTCTTCCCTGCCAGAATTTTTCTCTGCTGCCAGCCACCTCAGCAATTAGCAAAGCCCCATCCTTCCTCTTTGCTGACTTCCAAGCTGCTTGAGGCAGAGGTGGGTTCAGGCCACCCTCCCCGAGTTCTGGATTCAGTCCCACAAGCTTTTTTCCCTGTGGGCTGGTGTAGACATTCCCTATCCTCCCACTGTATTCTCTGGAGATGCTTGAGATGCGTCCGGATGCCTCTCCTGGCTGGTCAGCACCCCACTGGGCTCCCACACTGTGCATCAGGCTCTCTTGTACCTGTTGCTGAGCTGGCTGGCTGGTCTCCCTTCCTAGGATCAGTGTCCTTTGAGGGCCTCCCAAACAGCCAGAGCTGCCTGGGGAGGCTTAAGGCCAAGAGATCTGGTGAGAATTGAGCCCAGCTCACTGATGGCACAAGGAGCTCTGCACCCTCAGTTAGGGTTTTGCGCTTGATGTCCTCGGCCAGACCAAAGCAGAGCAGCAACCAAAGTGGGTTTTGGCAGGGCAGGGGTAAGCAGCTGTGTGCTACAGGTTCATGTTTCCATTCCTGGGAGCAGGTTGAAGCAAGAGCAAGCACAGGAAAGTCCCTCGTAGCCAGCTAAAGCTGCAAAATGCTGTCTCAGCAGGGGAAGCTGCTTGTGTTCCAGTGAGAAGCCTGGGAGAGCTCTGAGACAACACAGGGACAGGACAGCATGGAGCTTGTGTCCATCCAAAACCCTACAGCAGGCCTGGCACCTGCCAAGCCATCAGGCCCAGCTGGTAAGTCAGCAAGAAGGAGGCTTTTTCTTCTGAAACCTTCCAGAGTATCCAAAGTGACTGCTCATGGGGAACCTGGCAGTTCTGGTAAGTAAATTAGCAAGAAACAGCGTGCCTCAGGATCTTCATTACCCCCCAGCCTAACAACACCCAACCCCTAAATTCCCTTTACACAGTATGTTTGCTCAAACTGGAGCAGCTCCTTTTAGGTGAAAGCACCATATAAGAGGACATGTCTCAATAATTTAAAAGTGCTTTTCTTCACTCAGTGTTGCGTAGTGTTCTCCCTGAGCGTTAAATTGATCCCTTTCCCAATTTCTTCCAATTGGTTAAGGGCTCAGAGAGTGAAATCAACAGCACTTGAGACGGAGCAAAACTCTGCTGGCATTAGGTTTTGCTACAAAGCCGGATTTGCCCAGGGCCTGTGCTGAGGCTTTGTTCGGGTGCGCAGCCTGGGCCTCGCTCCAAGTGGTGCTGGCAGGCCCCATATCCTCCCTGCCCTACAAAGGGACGCCTTTCTGAGGAATCACTTGCCATGAAGTAGTCCCTGCGTGCAAAGAAAACCGCTTGCCGTTTTGATGTAGGCTGACCGGCTGCCTGCTTTGGGACTTGCACGGTCTGTCTGTCTCTTTTCCAGAAGTGCTGAACATGTATAATTCCCACTGACTCCTTTGTGGGCAAGCCGTGGCTTTGACAGGTTTGTTCTACAGTTTGGGGGATTTTTATCACATTTAATGACATCTGAAAAAATGGCAGAATAAAATACAGTTCAGCCTTGCCCCTGCCTGCAGATTAGCATTTCCACCGTGGTCCCGACGTGCTGGCTGAGCAGTGTCAGTGTCTTTCCTGGCAAGAAACAACCGACTGAGTGCAGCTCTGATGCAGGACCGGATCAATCTGCCCCTGTAGTTTGTGGTCGCTCTGAAGTTTTGGACTTGTTCTGAATACAGAATTCAAAACAAAGCCTGAGAGACTGAAAACCTGCGCGGACTGAGAATAAGGTTTGCGTTGAGCCCTGCCAAGCGATAAGGCAGCTCCCCCTGGCTCTGAGAAGTGAACTTTCCTCCCCAGCGGTGGGCAGGTGTGACAGGAGGATGCTGCCTTGTGAAAAGGCTCGGCCCTGCAGGTCTGGGTTCAGGGAGGCTCTCACAAAGCACTGTATGGGCTTTATCCCACAGTTTATCAGTGGGAGGGGAGGCGAATCAACTGCTTGCTCAAGAAAATGTTGCAGTTCAGCACGTTGGTTATCGAATGTGTAAGGGAAAGATGTCAGGTCCGCTGCTTGGTTGTGGGTATCAGCACTTTGCATATCTCAGCACGGATTCTGGTTCCACAGGCACAATCTGGTTTTCCTAAAGCTTCTTCCTGCTGTGTGTTTGCCTCGGGCTTAGACGGCTCACCAGGGCTTTGGATTGCAAAAATCAGATCGGATGCTCCTATCTTTGTTTTCAACAACAGGGACAAACTTTGCCCTTCGCAGTGCCTGCAGGGCAGCAAGTAATGAATGTTTATGGGAATATGGGTTAGCTCTGATACTAACCTGCCTGACCTTGCTGGGGAGAATCCCTTCTGCCCTTGCACGACAGGAGGGAGCCTCCATCTCTGCCACTGAGAGTCACCTGCCTTCAAGGCCTTCCATGGAAGAGGGCATGGGGAGGTGGTGCAGGTGGGGGCAGCTCTTCCCTGCCTGCCTGCTCTCGGATGTGCTCCTTGTGTTGCTCAGATGAGTGCTGCCCCTCTCCTGGCTCCTGCCATGCTGCTCCTTCTCCAGAAAAGATCCTCTTTTCACCCCTGCAAGCAGGGATCTCGAGGCTTCTGGGCACAGATGCTCCTCCTTGGGTCTGAGGGACTGGTAATGGCCCAGCTTCTGCCTCCGTATTTACTGGGTGTGCCAAGGGCTGCTCCTGCAGGAGGAGCAGGAAAAGCCACAGGTGATGGGCATGGGAAGGATCAAAGCACTTGCTGGGAAAGGAGGAATCCGGGGTGCTTCTTATTCATCTCTCAAGGCAGGGCTGCTAACCCAACACCTTTGCTATCTCTTTCTCTTCCATCTTCTGAGCTGATCAATACCTTTATGTTCACAGGATGGGTCCTTCAAAGTATTCCCACATCTTCAGAGTCACTCAGGAGATTCCCACGGATGGAGAGGGGATTGCAGCGTGGTTTCTTGTTCTGAGCTGCTCAAAGTCTCCCTGCTGGCAGAGAAGGTGGGGACCGGTTTCACAGACTGCATGTGGTCAATTAAATCCTGGGAAGCTGTGGGAAATGTAGGATTCCCTTCACGTGCATTGCTTTCCCTGCCCACCTCCACAGGATAACGTCACACTGCACCAGTAGCTCTGGCAAGATCAGTGATAATGGGCAACAGAGCTGGTGACCACTCCCGTGAAGTCTCATCCACTGGGCTATCACAAAGAAGTTAATCAGATAATCAGAGCTGACACATGAACAAAACTTTACCCTCCAAAAATCCTTCTCTCGTCATCTTCCTGCATATCTCAGTGCTGTGCTGCCTGTGCACGGCAGCCTGTGTGGCTGAGTACACTTCTGGTGTGGTTCGTCCTCCTCTATCCTTCTTGTTTAGCCTTCCCTTATTGAATCTGATTGACTCTGAGGCCATTGATTATAAATAAGATCTTGGGGGTAGGTCTGATGGCTTTTGCTCTTTTTTAACACAGCAGGCTTTGAGTCCTGGTTGGGAGCCACTGAGCGCTGCTGTTATATTAAATGATGGTCAGCGATAGGAATGCAGTGGCCACTTAATACCCCAAATTACTCCTTGTAAGTGGGCAGGGTCTGGCTTTTGTCCAGATCTCTGTGCTCCTGGCAGAATGATTCATTGCCTTGCTCTGGCAAATGTATTTTCATCTGTTAGTTTAAATCTGACTTCTAGTATTCTGTGCATTTCTTACAGCTGAGGAATTTCCTGCCCTTTATCCGCCTGTTTTCTTCCAATCTGGGCTAAAATCAATACACTTAAATAAATAAAACCACTGGGCTTGTGAGTACCTCCTGCTGTGTCAGTGGCAGAAGTTAAGCTGAGTGACCAAAGATTAGTTAAGCCATTTTCTTCTCCTGTAAGTAAATTTGCTGTTGTTGAGGCACGACAGACTTGCCTGGGAGATGGCATTTCTTTGCTTGACCACAACAGGGACAGTTTGCCAGGCAGCAGATCTGAGGCAGTGGCAGCTGCCTCTGGAACAGGGTCCCCGTGCCACCCCTAGCCCTTAGGGTTTGGTTTGGGCAAGGCTTTCTGGTGCTGATCCTTCCCCTGCTTACATGATTGGGACCACTGCTCTGGGATGGCTTTGGGAGTGGCACAGACAGGGCTGGAAGTGGTGGCTGAGAGACGGACAACCTGCATCTTATTAGTTCTCCCATTCCTCTGACTTCTGCCTCCCCAGCTCAAGGCATTTAGTAACCTACGTGAAATCGCTCTCAGAGGAAGGAGTTGCTATAGTTTTTCTGGGAGTAGAATAAACTGTGATCTGCAGAGCTGCTGTCCTGCTGGGCTGCGACACCCTTAGCTGGCTGGGGTGGTGACAGCACCGTGTAGGCATTCCTGTTGTTTTTGGCAGGCCTGTTTTGGGAGCTCCTCTGAAGGTGAGCAAGGATATCACGAGCTGTGCCCCGAGCTGGGGATGCAGCCGAGTGGAAAGGAAACCGGCTCTGTTTACACACAGATACCTGTGCAGCCAGCAGCGTTAGCGAGAGAAAACAGAAAAGGACATGACAGTTACATTGGGTTTTCATTAAATATTAAATGGAGTGAAGTTTTTCTGGAGTGTGCCCGGGCTGCTGTCTGTCTGGCAGCAAGGAGAAACCAAGTGGGTGAACCCGGGTCCAGAGGTGCAGCACTGCCTGCTCAGGAGCCGCAGCACCGGGGACCCTCCTGTACCACCTCCATGAGCTGTCCCATCACTGCCGTGGCCAGAAGAGAAGAGTTAACTCTCGTAGGCATCTCAGTGGGAGAAGGAGAAGGGAAACAGCTGATTGATCCAAGCAGAGCCTGGCTGGCCCCGATTGCAGGAAGCAGGCGCATCCCTGCTTGCGGCTTGTGCACCCCGTTCTGCCAGCTTTAGCCCAGAGGACATCCTCCACCCGCCGCTGGCCACACAGATGCTGGTGGGCTGGCAGGGCGAGGGCAGGAGCTGCTTCCTCCATCAGCTTAGTGAGGCGGTGAGAGGAATCTTCAAACGGGGCTGGGGTTAATAAGTTAAAATACAGAGCCTTAATCCCCCGCCGCTAAATCGGAATGTAATTCAGCTTATAACCACGGCCCAATCCATGTGAATTACAATCACTTTAAATACAGCTGGGGCCAGCCTGGGTTTAACATCCTCCTGAGACATCCTGGAAGTAGAAAGTGGGGCGAGCAGTGCAGCGGGTACCCCTGACACCCCAGGGAGCCACGGCACAGCAGGCAGGGGTCCCACTGCCTCTCTGGGACCCCTGGGGACAGGCACCCCTGGGTGAAACCCCGGGTAAGGGCAGGAGGATGCGAGTGTGGCTCGGGTGTGAGCTTATCTGCCAGGGAGAGGGGGGTGGAGGCTGCTGGCAAGCCCACGGTGCTTTTATCTTTAATTTAGGATGTTTATCTCAAGAGATTCTTCGAGCTTTAAAACAAACGTAAGGAGATCTGTGTGTGTCTGGTGCATCTGGCCTCTGAAAGCAGGCACGCAGGGTCCTGGTGGCAGGGCTGGTGATGAAGGCTCTGCCTCCTTCTTCCCTGTTTAACCCATGTCAGGACGAACCTAGCTCTCCTTCTGCTGCCCCAAGGAGCCAGTAGAGCAAAGGGCTCTTCTCCCAGCTTCAAGCAGCAGCGGGCACCTGCAGGCGGTCCCAGGGGTGCCCAGGAAGATCTCTTACTGCAGCTAGCTCTCACTGTTACATTATTCAGCCCCGGCTTTCACAGCTTTATTGCTCAGCCCCAGTGGGGAAGGAACAAGTGCTCATTGTCTCCTCATGCCACCCCAGCCTGGGAAAGCGGAGATTTGGGAGCCTGCATGGGAGTTGCTGAGGTCTTCTGCCACCACTGACCCACAAACCTTCCCGGGAAGCCTTGGGCAGTGTCAAATGCTCCTCAGAAATTGAGGGTCTTGCTGGCTGCTTTTCCAAGCGTTGAGCTGGAAATTCCCCGTGGGAATGAAGCTTTACTTTTGTGGGCTGCTAGGCGTAGGCAGAGTTCAAGGAGTCCAAGTTACTATATTGGTGGGGAGAGATCAGAAAATAAGATCCTGTTCCCAGACCTGTGCCTATTCTTGGGCATTGTTAGGAAGATGCTGACAGTTTTTTCATGCCACTCTATTTTTTTTTTGTGGTTTCCTTGTATTTCTTCTTCCTGTGGTGAATGGCTAGTGCTGTTGTGTTAATACCAGGCCAGAAAGAGAACTCAGTAATTTCTCAAAGCCTGGCATGCAAAGTGCCTGGAGTACTGGGCTGGACAGCTTGTGAGTTTTCTGTGGGTGTGATGGAAGCGAGCTGGGTTCTCGGGTGCTTTCCCAAAGCCCTGCTAGCCTGTTTTCTACATTTAGATACAGCTTACTTTGCAGCACTGGTAGAGCTGAGAGGAGGACAGATGTAGGGAAATGCAGATCCAAGATAAACTGCCTCCCAGGCTCTGGGATCCTGGGCTCTGGGGCAGCAACGCCTGCAAGATCAGCCCCAGCCCTGGGCTAGAAGGTCATCTTCCCAGCTCCTCAGACAAGCTGTGTGCATGGTCTATGACCACGCTGCTTTTGGCTCCTTACAGGAACATATGATCAGCGGGTGGACCCCTCGCCATGCAGCTGGGTTGGTGTGGCCCTGCAGCTGTTCCTCTGACTTCCCTGTTCCTCCCTGTGTCCACCGAGACTTCCATGTGCACCACAGCCCTGTCCCCTCTCAGCAGCGGGACGGGCGTTCACCAGACCTAGGCCTTCCCAGCTAAAGTCATCAAAATGTTCTGAATTTTTGTGTGGCTTACAAACACGCTGTTTGTTTCCCCGGTGCTTGCGGAGTGCTGCGAGCAGTGCTCCTCCCTTTTGCTGGTCTGACTGTTCTCGTGTGCCATGCAAGCACGGTGCCAGAGGGAGGGAGATGCTCACCCGAGCAAGGCCAGGATGGTGCTGCCTTGTGTCACACTGCTTGCCACCAGGGCTGCCCACCCCTGAGCACTGCATGCCTGCAAGGAAGGTCTCATCTCTCTAGGGGTGAGCTGCCAAATGTGCTTTGAAACAGGGGTGGTCCCAGGGCATTGAGCTGCATGAAGGACATTGAGCTGTCCCACCTCGGACACAGAGACCTACCCCTACCGACAGCAGCCAAAGGACAGGTGTCGTACTGGTTTGTTTTTCAACATATTGCTTTGCTCTGTTGCTCTCTTTAAAACCTCTCCTTGCAGGTTTCCTCTCTGGACAAATGTTAAAGGACAGTCACCACCAGGAGCCCCACCAGCAGCAGGACTCACAGGCAGGCTCCTGTTAGAGAGTGCCTGGCACGGCATCCCCACTGGAAAGCAGGAAATTATCCTTCATCCCATGTGCTGCAATGCACAAGTGGGTAATGACAAAATAAGGCTTTCAAGTGGTCCTCATGGAATTACAACATCTGCTCCGTCCTTCGTGCAGGCTGCAAAACGGGGAAGACTGAGCAGTTTCATGGGAGATGCTGGCCCCATTTGCTGTTTCCTGTGTGCTGGCAGAGCCACAGAAGCCACCACGAAGATCACCCTATGACTGCAATAGGTCAGAGACAAAAGGACCTCTGCGTGCTCATCCCCTCGCCCTCCAACGGAGTGACTGGAGCCGAGGGCAACGCCAGGGCAGGCTGAACTCCTGCCCTTGCCTTCCCCACAGGCGACCTCAGGACCAAAGCACCAGCAATCCCACCGGTCCAGGCTGACACCAAGACACGGGTAGCTGGCTTAGCTCTCCTCGACCATGGACGTACCTCTCCTAGCTCTGTCACTGCTCAGCGCCGAGACGCCGTTTGAGAATAACAAATAACCAAAATGCTTTGTCAGCATGAAAGCCCATCACGCCAGCATTGGCTGTGTTTGAAATACAGAAGCAGGGCTGTTTTTGCTGAGGAACTCCCCCAGAGACAAGCAGCTCCTGCATTATTAACAGCGGTGCTGATGAATCCCTGGTAATGAGGCACGCTCGCTCAGCCAGCCAGCGAAGTGGCCGTGGCCCTGCCGTTCACAGCCCACGTTGCAGTACTACATTTGAGAGCAAGAGACGACTGCTCTGGGGAGCAATTGGCAATGCTCTGCTGTAAGATTTGGCTACTTTCCCTAAAATTTGCTAACGTTCTGCCAGGCGTGAGCTAGGTAGGCATGGAAATCCCACTTTTGTTCTCTGATGGCTGTGAAAAGGGAAATACGAGGCTGCTTTCCCAATGACACAGACCTGTGATTAAAGAAAAAGACCTGTTCCTTGGCTCATGCTCTGCTCTGCTCCAGAGAGCAATGTGGGCTGTGCCCTCTAGTCTGCTTCGTAATGGCTCAACAGATTTTGCTGTTAGGAAAATCTTTGTCCAATTTCTTTAACTCAATTTCATCTCGCTCCATTTATCAATTCTCCTTTTGGTTTCTGGATGCAATTACTTTCCCACTGTGGCCATTATACCTCCTAGGATACTTGTAGAATAGGATCGTATGTACCCTCAGCTGACATTGGGCCAGGAAAGACATCTCAAACTCTTTCAGTTTTTGCTAAGTCAAACCTCCTCTGAGCTTTCCCAGCAGGACAATACTTTTCCGACAATATAGTGCAAGGGATTAGCAGCATATGCGGTTGCAGAAAGACTGGTCTTCCTCCAGTGCATAATATCATGCCTCTGTAGTGCAACACATCATCGCTCGTGCTAATGCATTTTCAAGCAGTGTAATTCCCCCAGCAGTTCTGCAGAGCTGCTTTGTGCTGCAGACACCCTGGTGCTTTGCAGATGTCACGTATGATGTCAGGCTTCTGATGTCATTGCTGCATGCAGAATGACTCTGTTAGCCTCAGATGTGTTCATGCTATGGATTTCCATCTGTTGTGGAGTTTCCATGGTATGAACAGCATCGATCTCAAGTACTCCTCTGTTCAAGCTGAGGAAAGAGAAAACCCTGTAAGAGCTAAGAGGGCTGGTTAACATGATATAGGGATAATTGGAGTCTTTTTTTCTTTTCTTTTTTTTTTTTTTTAAAGCAGAACTTCTTGTGGATCTTGTGAGTAATCTGTAGTAAATGCATAGTCAAGGCAAAGAAGAGAGAGGGCACAAAAGTTCCTGATAAGGAACTTGCTCCCTGAAAATGGCTGACAAAGTGAAAAGGCTGAAGTTAACTCTCCTGTACTTTCAATTTTTAGGTGTGTGACAAGCTATTCAGGAACAAGGGATTCCAGGATGCCTTTGGGCTCTGATTTTGGCAGTAGAGTTCTACAGATGTCCCTATGAGCTCACATAAAAGACCAAGAAACCCTGACAAGACATTGGAGAAGATCTTGAAGATGCCTATGGCACTGGGAATCAAACCCAGTGGCACTTAGGACTGAAACAGTGAGAAGCGAGAGAGTTTGCTTTGGCGTCAAGGAAGGCAGAACTGAATCTTCAGAAGGGGTCGCAGAAGAAGCCATGCACTGAATTGGCTACAGCAAAAGTCTCATCTGCGTGTGAAGTGGTGCAGCCTCAGGTAAAATGTTACTAGTGTAGGGCTTGAATAGATCAGAAGTGTGATAACTTAATGCAGGGACTGAGTTACTAATGCCCAGACTGCAAGAACAGCATGGAGCTCTGCCTCTCCCACCATACTGAGCACCTGTTGCCTGTGCATGCCCCCAGAGCCCCCCAGGTTGGGCAGAGACAACATGCTCGCAGTGCTGGGGGTTCAGGGGCCAGCCTGTGATGCACTGAGAAGGAGCTGGGAGCTTTCTGAGCTGGCACAGGAGGGGTGGGAGAGCGCTCCCTCTCTGGCACAGACCACCTCTCCTCCTTGCTTGCAGGCTTCGTGCCTGCAGTGCCAGTCCAGGCTGCAAGTTAAAAATCCTCTGTGGAACAGAAATATCCTTGCTAATTGGTGGCAGCAGGTTACGCTATCTAAATTTTGCAAGACCTGCCGCTTACACGTTAATCATCCTGAAAGAGGGATAGGTTAAAGCAGGATGAGACCTACCACTGATCCCTCGAGCACCTCACCAGACGCCTCCTCCACCACCCTGGCTCTCTAATGGCTGCTCCCCTTCCGCTGTGGCTATCCTGCCATAGCAGGATCTGCGTGGCACCACTTCCAGAAAAGCCCCACTAAACTCCTCTTAAAAGGCGAATTTCACCATGGGCACAGGGCAGGAGATCTGCCCTCTCTTCCCAGCTTGGCTGCTGACCACCTGGGGCCCGACCTTCCCGTCCAAGACGCAGTTTTGTCCAACTGCACCTCACGAAACACTCCCCTAGAGCTGGGCCGTGGCCTGGTCCCTCCGTCGTCTCCCCTGGCGTTGGCCATGTCCCCGCCGCGGCTGAGGACGGCCAACCCGCCGAAGCGAGCCTCGGAGTGACGGGGCCGGGCCCCTGTTTTCAATTAACGTTGCTATTTCTGAAGGGAATATCTGCGGCGCAGGGAGGTAACCCATGGCAACCATCTGCTAAACCGCGATTCACGCCGCCTGGGCTTATCGGGGAGGTGGGGCGCGGGCGAGATGGGGGCTGGGGGCGACGCGGGGGGGAAACCTCCCAAATCTTGGCAAAACGGCCTCCTGTCCTCGTCCCCCTCCAGCACGGTGCCTGCTCACCCCTCAGAGTCCCACGCCACTGGATAATTTGTGGGCGAGCAGCTCACCGTGGTCGCTTTGTTTGCGGCTTGCCTCTAAATATAGCCCTGCGCCGGGGGATGCAGGCGAGCGCCCGCCCCACTGTCTGCCCGCGGCTCCGGCTGGCCAGAGAGGGGTCTGTCCTGTGTGGAGTGGGGCTGGCAGACAGAAGGGCCCACAATGGGTTTCACATGCTAAAAAGAAGTGCCCTTGTCCTCGGCCCCTGCTGCAGATGCCCTTGTGACTTTGAGTGGGGCTAACACATCACACGTGGCGCCCAACTTGGGCGCTGAGGTGCTGACGGGGCAGTATAATAAGTAGCGAGCAGAAATAAGAAGCTACTCTTATGTTTTAAACATAACATTAATTAATAAAGAAAAGGGGACGGTGTAGATACTAAAAGCCCTCATGCACCGAGGAGAAAATTTTCTTTCTCTTATAATTTAGAAGCTGCCAGAGCGTGGTTTCGTGGCCCCGAATGACAGCATCCACGTCGGTTTGGGGAGAAGACTGCTCTACAGTCACACAGAGACCAGACCTGCCCCACTGCAGGAGGAGAGCTCTCAGAAAATAGATAGCGTAAGGATAAAAGGAAAAGGTCATTTTCAGACCACACCACTCCATCACATCAACGTTAATTCATGTTAGTCTGTTACTTTGGATGTAACTGAATGCCATGAAAAATGACTGAGATTCCCCGGCCCAACCTGGCAGTGCACTTCAGCAAAGCTATCTAATAGGTTTATTATAGTTTATTGAGCAGCCGTTAGCAAGGAGTAGATCAGAACTACTGCCCAGATGCTAAATGGCCTTAGGAGTGATGGCATTTTTGGAAGAATTATTGTGGCAGGATGGGTAACTCGGTGTCTAGGGCCCCGTGCTACCTCCATCCCTGTCAGAAGAAATAATGGCCAAATTTCCTTCTGAGCCTCATGGCCCATTGGACTAATGCGTAGGGGCCAGTCTGCATGGCACATAGAGTACCTTCAGCTCCCCCCGTGTGGACGATCCCTTGCAGTTACTTTTTATGAGCAAGGCATTCTCAGCACCAGAAGCCACGCTCCCACCTCTCCTGCTGCACCCCAAAGGAAATTCCCTTCTCCCCATGTAGCAAGGAACGATCCTGGACACCAGCCCCTGCAGGGATACGCAAAGTTGCGTCCTGGCTCTCAGGAACACCGCAATTAGCTCTAATGGGGAGAGACTTGGACAACATTTTGCTTTCCCTGAAGAATGACCTCTGTTTCCTGCAACAGAAAAAGTGACTTGCAAATCTGTTTTGCAGAGCGACCACACTTTATTACCAGGCAGAGTTAATAGCAAGGTTATTTTGCTATTAAAAAAAATAATGAAAAAAGTTAAGCATCAGATTGCAATGTTTGGAAACAAGGTTAAGGAGAGAGAAGACAGCAGAAGGCTCCATCAACATCTGCCTGCAAGCTTAACTCCATCCTGCCCGCCAGATCCAGCTTGCATCTATTCAGCACACAAACTGGGGGTGGATTCTAGCAAACCCTCTCCCTGAGAGAGCGAGGTTTCAAGTACCTACCCCTCCTCTCCTTACAGTCCATTATTTATGTTCCTATCTTTTCAGGAGAGCTGTAGAGTGAAGGGTATCGCTGGGGATTTTACAGGTACTCATTTATTTTATGCTAATTTAGGGGCTCTCCTCACAGAGTGGTGTTGCTTTCAGCCACCCAGCATTTGTGAGACTACTCATGGAGTACTTTCAAGCTTACTTGAAAATAGACAGCCCTGATGAGAAAGGGGACTGTGCACTGCTGTTCTCCAGCCTTTGCTTCCATCCTTCTTCAAAGTCAGTCAGGTGAATGGCACTTAGAAGCTTCCATCGTATCATTTTCCACATTACTCAGTGTGCGAGTTCTTCAGCATCCTACAGCCATCTTTCTGTTGGATTCTCTATTCCTCAGCAGAATTACTTGCAATGTGCTCTCTTACCTGATTTCATGCATAAGGACCCCATACTTTTTTCTCATTACAGCCCCACTTCCCACAATTTATGCACTACTTCTGACACCCACAACTCGAGTTACCCTGCAGAGCTCCCACGGAGACTGCACAGGACATACTAATGATGCCTCCGGCTGACTCAGCCCCTGGCACAGGACCATCTCCCCCTCTTGTCAGGTTATAAGAAATAGGAGATTTCCCTCACCTTCCAGTGAAGGACTAGCTTTCAGTGCCAGCCTGGAGTGAGCTTTAAACTCATGGTCCCCTTCTGCAGCTGCCTCCACAGAAGCTCTCTCTAGCATTGTCCCACCTTTCCCTCCCCTCTCAGGTCCCATTTGTCTCCCAGCCTTTTTACAATTCACAGCCCACACACCACAGCTCCCAGACACCCCACATCGCATCCAATACATAGATACCAGATATAATGGTGGCCCCTAACAATGTGCAATGCCACTGTGATGTTCAATAGGACCACAGAACGTTCAACTTCAATGGGAGAGAGAGAGGTGTCAATTCAGAGGGAGGAAGCAATGTTGGCAAGCAGTGACCTGGATCATTCACCAGCTGAACACTTGTGCGATTGGGAAATTGGTCCCTGCCTCTCCCAGTAGCAGGGATGCAGTGTGCATGTGCTATGCAGGAGGCTCTCTCTCTGCCTCAAAAAATTTCCACTTGAAAAACTCCAAGGTGTGCACTAGGACAAAGTCAGAGGACGGTAGCAGCATATACAGAGCTGTATAAAAATCCCAGGTAATGAACTGGCAGCTCAAACTCAAATGAGATTTGTGCTCAGCAGTGTTTCTAAGGAGTGCTGCTTCTGCACTTTGCAGAACTAGGGGTGTCAGGAGGGGTGTAACTGAAGTAGAAATTGTTGTTTGGTGGGCTCAGTCTTTGTGAATTATTTTGGGGAAGTAAGAGAGGAAATCAAATATACCCATACTCTTTCCTTATGAGTATAATAATTAATATCACTTGAACAATCTGTTGATAGCACAGGGCCTGATGACTTCTGGTGCAACTCTGTGATAATGGTTAAATTCAAGGCCTTCCAGCCCTCATGTTTGCAGCAAATGGCCTCTTTTACCTCATTCCAATCCTTTTTTTTTTTTTTTTTTTTTCCTCTTAGTAAGCAGAGGAATCCCCTTTTCACCCTGTTTTAATTACAGGAGCCACGTGACCCTTCCTGGAGCAGCTGCCACACAACCAAAATACATACACCAGGCCAGCAGGCTCACAGAAAATATGTAAGTAGGTTACACGGGGGCGGGGGAGACCATTAAACACAGCAGGACCCACTTAACTGAGTACCTGTTAGAGGAGCAGAAAGTGGTGGAGGATGAATGATGGGGTGGCTCTCCTTCCTCCAGCAAGCCCCAGCGAGACTCAAGCTGGGTGGAGAGGGAGGCTGGGAGAGGAGCAGAGGGGTTTGATGTGTGCTGAGGCTGGCGTTGCTAATGATTGCTTCCCAAATAAATAAATCAGAGAGCTCAAATATGCCCCCGCAGCTATTGCTCTGGGCTGGTAGCTGGAGGGCTTGTGTAGCTAATGCGTTCTCCAATGCTGGTGGAAAGCCTTCACTCTGCTCCAGGAGAGGAGCCTGCAGAGGGGTGCCAAGCCTGGCTGGCTCCCCCAGCCCTCAGAATGGTGGGGGAGGACACCAGTCCACACACTGCTCCTGCAGGAGTGTCCCCAGAGCAGGGAACAGCAGCAGCAAGGTAGGAACAATGTGTGGGTTTGGGATCCACTCTCCTTTGTGAATGCTTTTAGGGAGTGCAGGCAGACTGAGTCTTTCCTCCCAAAATACATTTAAATTCTAAGTTATTAAGGGTGGTGTTTTGACATGGCCCTGGATAAATTAAGGACTGCCTTATCTTTTGGAGAAAAGTCCCTTTAGCCACCCAGAGAGCACCTCTGGCATTTGATTAGCCAGGGAATTGTTTCTTGCCTCAACCGGGGTAAAAACTGTGTTTGGTTACACTGCAGTATGAGGGTTTTTCACCAGCCCCTGTATTTATATAATCTTTCTGCTGACAAATACACCCAAATCAAACATCTAAATAGGATTAAAGTAGGCAGCTTATTACTGGCTCTTGAGGAAGAGCAGGAATTATGGTAATCAGTCATAACAGTGAAGTTGGGGTGTCTGACCCCTACAACTTATCCTTGAAAAATACTATACAAATAGCTTCTGAATCAGTAAAGAGTAATTTCATATTCACTGAATAATAGAGAAAAGCACAAACGAAAATAGCCAGATCTGAATATCAATGTATTTTGGGTTCTTTCTTGTTGAGAGGAAGACGAGCATAATCACAAGTGAAATAAGTGCCAGGCCATATTTAACCCTCTCAGCAGTCCAGCGAGTAGAAATATAAATTGTTCAAGTTTTCCAAAAATAGAAAATCGTCTTGCCACAGTAAACAGTGCCTGCTGTTCAGTTTGGGGTCCACCTCCCCTTTTGCAAGAGAAATATTCAGGGATGTTTCCTGCCCTTTGATGGCATTTTGCTGCAAATCCCAGTCAACCCCGTGCAGAAGCTGCCTACGCTGCTCCTGATTTCCAGAGAGAAAAGTCAGAGGATGCACACCCCATGCCTGGGTCATGTCTGAATGTGATGGTCACATACAACATTGTTCTGGGGAATGCAGTGCACAAGGGCATGGTAACAGGCATAATTTTTCCTCTCCAGGTGGCTAATTTAAATTAATCCTATGGAGTTAGTGACTAAAAGCAGTCCTTACCTCATGGTGGCTACCAGCAGCCTGTTTGAAAAGGGTTGATGAGTCCCAAGGGTGTTCTTGATGGGCAGTGTCTCCATCTTTTAAAATCATCCTTACAGACAGGTGATTACTTGCCTTATTGGCACTTTTACCGATGGAAATGAGAACTGAATGGGTTGGTTGAATGTTTTGCACAGTAATTTATGCTTGTGGTCCAATATAGCTCATATTGAGGATCTATTCCTCTCTTATAACTGGGGCAAATTCCATCTCTAGAAGCTCTTCTTCCAAGAGAGGATGAATTATCTGAGCCGTCACCTGTCTGGCACCATTCAGCTGCTATTTATTTCTGACATGTTCGTGTCAGTAGAAGGCTTTCCAACCTCACAGAGATACTGGGAGATTTCATTTATACAATACTGTGAGATTGTCTGATCAAAGGCATACAAGTGGAAATCATTACTGTTATTTTCAGGCATGTCTTTAATCATAGATTCTCCCTATTCATCGCAATCATTGCAATTGTAACTCAGAAGTAGGTTCCCTCACCACCTGGCCACTTGGTGCTCTTCTAATCTCTGACTCTTGCCTATACAGTGAGATTCCTCCTGTATCCCTCCTCCACCTCTCCACAATGCAAACGTGTTCACTAAAATTTCCTACAGTAGCTTCACCTTACATGGATTTGTTTCTGCAAACCAACATGATATTGAACTTTTTGCATCCTGAATCTCTCCCGCGAGGAAATGAGAATAATACTTGGTGCTGTCTATGCAGGGACCATTCACAGTGCTTGACAACCTTGCTGAAATGACTGAATTACATTCCTATCAGCAGAAAATCTGAAATGAGTTACAGCTATTTATGAAAGGAAAGGGAGGAATTTGCACATCTTACTGCAGAAAGGAATAAGCTTATTAATGCCCCATCTTTTTGACAATTTACATCTCTTTTGTCTAATCACGCACTGAATCTCAGTGCTGTGGAAGCTTCAGGACAGAAAAAATGAGGTGTCTGCTTTCTGTTGTTTCTATGGGATTTGGGCACCTAACATTATGATAGAGCTGGTCTGTAGCATCTCCCCAAACCAATGCATGTGAACTTTTTTCCTCCTGTCTGTCTTTTACCTGTAAAGACATTGGGAAGTGTGGTGGGGAAAAGTGGAGCACCTCCAGAAAGGCCTATGTGATGGAGGACATCTAGTCTACTCTGTGAGTTTTTTTTTCTGAGGGTCCTCGATCCCCTAGAGCCAAGAAAGTTCATCTTCTGCACTCCTGGGTTGTGTTTCAGAGGCTGGGTCTTTCATTGCCAAAAGGTGACAAGCTGGCTGGGGTGGTTTTGCTCAGTAATTCAGGTCAATCCAGCTTGAAGATGGCAGTGGAAATCCGTTTTGGTTTTGACCATAGTGATCTGGGGTGCTGGAAACCATGAGAGTGCCAAAAAAACATTTAGTGTTAGAGACTGCCTCCAGTGACAGGAAACCTCATGCAGGCATTGACTCTGTTTCCATGTGTTTGTCCCTTTTCTTAAGCATCCTGTGTAGTAGCTGTTGCCACTTTCATGAAGGCTGAGGTGTTTCTCAAGTCTCATGCCAGGGAATAAAAGGCTTGGAAGGACAGGAACGGGATGTGGAGCATTCCCATCTTAAATCACAAATTCTAGTCTGGACCCAGGTCATCTGAAAGTTGTCATCACCTAGAATTTCAATCTGCTTATATTTGCCCTGCATGATTAAATATTCATGCCAGGATATTCTGCCATGCATGATGAGAATATGCAATGTAACCTCACTGGAAGGACTCTGCTGCAGATGTACCAATATGCTGCTGCTTGCTGAAATGAATTCCACTTTTGTTAGTTCTCTAGATTCCCCTTGATGGACTTCAGTCTGGTCTTGGATTATCCCATGTGATCATCCCATTCCAGAGACTGATTTTTATTTTATTTTTTTACATGTACAAACACAGAAAACCATCCTCATCTTGCACAATGAGGCCAAGGGCAGGACAGACCGTGGTAAATGGCCTCCTCGCTCCTAGAGACATGTGATCTATCTGAGCACCAAGAGATTGCTGGGCAGCAAACCCTTTGCTACAGATCATAGCAGAGCAACAACCAGCTGATGGCTAATTTCCTTGGGGCTGGCAGCCTGGTGCTTTGAACAGCCTGAACTTCACTTAAAAAAAAATTATAGTGATTAAGTAAACACAGCTATAATGGAAATCTTTACTCTGCATATTACAAACCAAAATGGCCATGAAGGGAGCAATTATGAAATCTCAGGACTGTGGTGAGGGGAGGAATCATTTGAGCTGTGCTGTTGTTTGTTTTTGTTCATCATTTATTTCCCCTGGGAAACTTGACTCTGAAGCAGTCTCTGCTGCGTTGGAAGATTCTTTACATTTTCGTTAACCCAGTTTTCCATTCAGTCTTGAGCAAGATGGGAGGAAAGATAAGGGTTTTACACGAAGTCACAAGGCACGATAGACTACCTTGGGGAAGGATTCCTAGATCCCGTTTCCAATTCCCATTACAAGCCCACAACACGAATTGTGCATTGATCGCGCTCTCTCTCTGTTAGTCTTCAGTGACATGACTGATTTTACAAAGATTTGAGAGAGTGGTGAAGATAATGCAGGAGTGGCAATGTTTAAGCTGCACTAATGGGAACTGTAATGATGGCTCAGAGACAGCGGACCTCTTCCCTTTCTGGAGATATATAGTTGTTCCTAGTGGGTTTTTGGGACTTGCTCGATTCAGGAAAATGATAGTGTAAAGCAGCACCAGGCTTTCAGCTTCAGCTGATTTTTGCTGATGTTTGTTCAGGACCAGAGGGAAATTAGCTGGTAGACTGGCTCTTAGCAGAAAATTGACTGAGAAATGGAGAACACAGCAGAGAAACAGTTGGTGAATGATGGGATGAATGGTAATTCCCAGGTAGTCATAGCAAAAAGATTGATGCGGTCCAAAAACCTAATATACTTCCTAAATGTATATAATAATGCAAGTTCAGGAGCTGCTTCGAGGGCAGGAGCCAACTTGGAGGCCTTTTCCTTGACTGAACAGGCTTAACCAAAGAAAGAGGATCTAGCGTTTCCTTGTGAGCCCTGCTAAAGCTACAGAGCTTGGTGCTAGAACCAAGTGGTGTGCAGACGTGATAGCAAAGCAAAGCAACAGACCAATAAATCATGATTGTTCAAGGCCTTCAGATGAGGACAAACATTTCTGTTAGAGGTTTAGTGCATCCCAGGAGTGGAGAGCAACCCAGAGAGACTTGAAAGAAGGGAACAGAAATGTTAGCAGTTCCTATTAGATGGCTATTAATTAGGTAAGGAAGAAAACTGCCCTGTTAACCACCGAAATGTTTCCCCAGCTCCATGGTGGGCTGGTCCCAGAGAGATGCTGTGTGAGAGAGAGGGCAGATTTTCTCCTTCCCAGGTGAAACACAGACAGTTTGGGTACAAGGTGACAGAACTGAGCTACTGGATGCCAAGGTGGCCTGAAACAGTGTCAGAGTAGGCAGTGTATGGGGAAGAAGGGACCTAATTTGGAGGAAAAGGGAATGAGGGCTGAAGGAAGGGATTGAGTTTGGAGGGATAGGAATAACTATGGCATGGATTTGACAATGGGCTGTTGCTATTGCTGTGGCAAACCAAACCAGTGCAGGGGACCCTCAGCACATCAACACAAAAGGAATTATTATTCCTTCTCTTCCAGGGTGATTATCAAACACATACCCACAGGTTGGTCTGAAACCACCTTCCTTGTTCGTCCTCGCTTCTTCCAGAAGCCAATTAAGTCCTTCCCGAAGAGATACTCCATGAAACAGAGGCTTTTCTGAGACGGGTAATGGTTGTCACCCCAGCGCTAATCATAATGAATCACGCTCGGGCTCCTGTTGTGCTCATATTTTCAAAGAGATGTTGGTTCTTGATCCGTTCATTAATATTAATTAGCAAGGAGTCACGTTTCATTTCCCACTTATGTGTCCAAGCTGCATCATCCTTGTGTACCCTCTGCTAAAGGACCAGATGCCATTTATGGCTGGCACAAAATAATTAGCTAATAGTTAAAGAATACGTATCTCAAGTTAGTTAAATATTTATGCCAGACTTTTTCCATTTTGGCTTCCAGCCCTCATCTGGGGGTTGCAATGCAATTTAGGGAGGATATGAGAAAGTTTTCACAGTTGTATGCAGCAAGCTTTAATTATACATTCTCCATATGGATGCAAATGTTTGATGTTATACAGATGTTGGCAACGAATTGACCACCAGGTACCAGAGTAGAAATAGCAGACTTCAGCAAGCATATCAAAATCTAATTCCCTTGTTGTCACTGCATGCTGCATAATGCATCAGTCACTCTTTTGCTTCTGATCCAGCCTCTTTTGCTCAGTCAGAGATCTCTGCTGCAAAATATTTTTAGGCAAATGAATAAAAAAAAGTGGCCAGGGCTGGAGAGCGGGCACGTGTGGCTTGGGCGTAACTGGAAGTCACATCCTGCATCTTCCCTGGAGCTGATTTCTGGCAGTGGGAGAGGTGTCTGCCTTTATGAGTCCTCAGGTTTTGCTTGTAACAGCCACGCAGGGTGCCCTAGATCATTTGCTTCACCTCCTGGGAGCTCTCTCAGGCAGCCCTGTGTTGTTCCATGCAGGACGTGGGGCTGTGAGCCTCCAGCACCCGGTACCATGAAATGCTACCAGGAGGAGCAAGGACATCCAGTGCTCTTCTAAGCTGCACAGGAGCTGGGGCTCCCTGTGCTGTGCCAAGCAGAGGAGAGTATTTTCCCTCCTGATGCTCAGCATCACGTGGAGATGTGCGTGTGTGTGCAGCTCCCAGTGCTCATCCTGCCCGAGGGGTGCAGAAGGAAGCTGGGGGCAAAGGCAGCGGAGGGCTGTCAGCTGGATTTCTGCTCAAGGGTACACACGGAATATCTGCTCTCCTTAATACCTTATAGGTGAACAGTAATCCTTTAAGGGGTCCTGCTAAAGGCTGTCTTTTGCTGACCTTCCACTCCTACTTGTGTTGAGAGGGTTTGCTTCTGCCTGCTCAGGAGCTCAGAACACCCAAATTATCCGCAGCATCTTGAGCAGATAATTACACCGAGCCAATCAGTGTGATAACCTGGGCGCTTTCACCTTGCTGTGCTCTTTGATAGTCCCTCATCCAGCCTCGATGGGGACACAGTTCTGCTGAGCCTTCATTTTCTGGAGCAGGTTTGGGCAGGGAAATGGTGGTGGTGGCGGTGGGGAGAAGGGGTAGTGTTGGCTAATGCCTACTGTTAGAAATATACCAGGTGAAAAAGTGCTTGTGATCAGCTCTCATGGGAGTATCACACCCTCTAAGCAGGTAAGATGGGATGGCTGTCTTGTGAGCTGCATCTGGGGCATGGGAAGAAGCAGCGACCCACACCTTTCCTAGTTAACCTGCAAGCCTCATGCTCCTGCCTTCGAGCTTGCCCGGTTTCACAAGTAAGCAGAAATAGGCTTACTCACATGGGAGATGAAAAAACTTCTAAGAAATATGTGGGTGCTATAGTAGATAGTGTTATGCTTCACCAAACAGAGCCCTTCCCTTTGAGTCAGCCTGTGCTTTGGCGATCCAGCCTCTACAGGCAGATTTTTTTTTCCTTTGGACTAAATTATGAAAACCGTGAAGGATTTCTCAAGGTTCCAGTTAAATTGCAGTTTTTGCCATTCCAATCTGCCGTTCCATCTCTACAGGCAAAAACAACTGCATTTTCCCTGCCACCCCTTCTGTGCTGTGAAATAGCTGTCATGCTCTACCCCAGAGTTAGCTGCATTGTTGCGGGGGAAGAAATGTTTTTTCTGTCCATGCACGAAAGTGAATAGATAAATCTCTTGAGATGAAGAGGCAGTTATTTTGTCCTGAAGAGTGGGAAGTGGATGGAGGAAACAGAGAGAAGCCTACAGTGAGCTACAGCTCAAGAATCAGTGCAAAATATTTATTCCTTGCAGAGGCAAAGGAGAGCAGTCCCACTGTTTTTCTTCTCCTAGGTTGGGAGCACAGGAGTGACACCGGAGTAACACGGTTCTTCCCTCCTGGGAGATGGCTGTAACGACAGAGGTTTTAACTTATTGTATTTAATAAGGAGGGGAGAGACAATAAAGCAACAAAATGAAACTTCTGCCCACAATGTAGCAGGAAGGGGAAAGAGGTTAAAGTCCAAGAGGCAAGTCTGAAAAGTGGAAATTGGGAGTGCACAAAGCACTTCTGCACAGAGCTGGCTCTAGAGATGAAGGATGCTCTCTTTCTGTGGTTACCTATACTTACTCCTGTTAAAGGTTTTTAAGAGCTCTGCCCTCCACATAGCAATGCAGAACTGCTGGCACTAGGATGGATGTGTGCATGGTGCAGGGGGCCTGGTTCTCACCTTGCTGGAGGCCTGTACAAGTTCCTGCTTTCTATGATCCATGCTCGAGGGCAGAAGTGTTGGTTTGCAGCCCCAGGAGAGTAATGAAAAGTTAGCAGGAGGATTCGTGCTTTCCCTTCTCTTCCAGGGATTGTCTGCTCCTTTCTTTGTTTAGCTGGAAAGAAGAAAGCATGGAGGACCAAAGAAAAGGAGGTGATCGAGTGTCTCCATAGGAAAAGTTCCTCAGTAAAGGAAAAATCCTCTCGCAGTCTGGTGAGAATAACACGCGGTGCTCTAGTTACGGGGGGCACGGGTGAAGGGAGCTAGTGAGGATGCCAGAAAAAGAGTGCAGCAGGCGTCATTGCATGGTGGTGATCTACTTTTAAGTGATACCAGAAAAACCTATTAAATATATAACCTCAGCGCCCAGAAAAATGTGTTAAGAGGTTTATTCGTGTAGGAAAAGCTTCATCTTATAAATATAGATAAGGGCTTCTTTTTTTCCTCCTTCTTCTTTTGGATTTCCTATACAGAAAATGCATTTGGACTGTAATTTCCCTTCTGGGAAGCTCTACCTAGTTATGCTGCTTGCTGTCTGGCAGGACTGCTAGGTCTGTGCTGCAAATGGGATAGCTTGGCGTGATGAGTCCTTCGTAACGCTGATCCCACTGCGCCCTGCTCCAAGCCTCATCCTGCAAAACCTTGTGTTTGTGCTGCCCTGTGAGAGGGCTGGTGGTTTCCCTAAGCAGTTTAGGACCATTGTGTGCTGAAGGTGAGGCGTCGCTGCTGATCCTTTCGGGCCATACCTCCCGTGGGGCTGCTGCTGACCGACCAGTGTGGGGAGGAAGATGCAGAAAATAGGTTGATCCTGCTTTTTTTTATTTTTCTTTATCTCTCTCAGCACAGACGCTTTCTTTTCAGGCCCTGCAGGGCACCTTAGGTGGAAATGCTGCCATGGAGATTAAATAAACCTGTGGTCCTTCAGGTTACCACCTTCCTTGCTCAACAGCTGTCTTGTTCTGAGTGGGTAGAACAGGAGCTGTCTCTGATCCCCATCCTCATCTACCAACAAAAGTCCAGCCACTGTCCTTACGCTGATCACAAATCAGACTCTCATCTTTGTGTCCATCCTCTTCAGCCCAAAATAAACATGATTTTGTTTCTTTGTTTTGTTACAGATGGCTGTCAGAAGCTCACGCTCAGCAGTGCTAACACCAGCCTGTTCTTGCTCCCAGTCCTCCCCACCAGTGCCTCTCATGGTATCTATCCCTGCCCCACATCACTTGGCCTGCACTCGGGGCCTTGCTGTCTTCCCACCCACCCCATCTTGTCTTGTGTCACACTGCTGATGTGCAGCCTTGCCTAGCCATCCACACACTCGTCCAGGCGCTAGACCATCTCATAACAGCCAGTACCCTATCCGTGGGCCTCGACAGGGAACTAATGCTCTGAAGACACTCTTCATAACGATGCTGGGCTGGGTTATCCCCCTCTGCTTGGCTTTTTGTCTCCTCCTTTGCTTCTCCCTTGTTTGCTTTGTCTTTTCACACCCTCAGATCTCTTCAGCTGTTCTTGTGCTGCCCTTTCCCAAACAACTTAGAAAGCATGGAGGCCTGTGCTGACCTTCCCTTCCTAGTTCTTCACACAAACATTGCTGGTTTGTACTTGCACAACCATTCCTGCCAGTGAGGAGGCTTCTGTGGACACCCGCGATACTCCGTTGTCATCCCTTTTCACATTTCTCCGAAGCTCTTATGTGTGGCCACGGGTAAGTAAACAAAATAACTGCAAACGTAGACACTCCAGTGGCTTAATCACAATGACTAACATTGCCTCGTGGCTTCTCTGTGCTCCTCTTTCCACATGTAGCTGCTGCTGCTCTCCTTGCCACTCAGTAACTGTGAATCAGGGCACTTCCTCTCCCCTTCTCCACCCCACCTACGTGGGGGCCCTGCTCCGTGCTTGTTGCTCCTAGGGACTATGACAGCTTCCAAAATCACCCCACTGCCACAGGGTGACTCACGTCCTGCTGCTATGGGTAGGCTCCCTACGATGAATGTGAAGGACAATCCCATCTGTGTGAGTTGTGAAATAGCCCGGTGATGGCATGTTTGCGTTATAACACCGTTGTGTTTGACTGCTGAAGTGGAAATGGAGCTATCTGCTGATTGCATTACGAAACTCCTGCCTTGTTCCTTCCCAGGCTCTGTCTCTGGTCTGGGACACACTTGCAAATGTCCCACTGTGGTGTGTTTCTTCCAGAGTGCTTTGAGTATTTTTTCCTGATTGCTTTCTGCCTCAGGAGCACGATGATGGTACCAGACCTGACCTCCGACGTGAGGTCTGTCTCTGCGCTCATGCAGCCCGGTCCGAGTGCCAGCGCAGTGACAGGCAGCTCCTCCGCTGTTGGCAGGGGCACTTGCCAAAAAGCTGTGAGATGCTTCAGTGCGCACTACTTTTTCCTGTTGGGGTTGAAACCAAGGCAAAGAGGAGTGCACTAGTTAACTTTTTATCCTAAAACAAGTCTGCAGGAAAGACATTTGCTGTGGACAGTGAATCCACCTGGCAGTAGGCATCCTGTAGATCTGTTGCCACTTCTCCCAGCCTCACCAGGACAGGTGGTGACAGTAAGGAGGAGGGGGAGAGAAGTATTCCTGGCTCTTCAGAAAGGGCTCTTGACTCCATTTGGTTCTGGGGGTGTAGGCTTGCTTTTTTTTTTTTTTTTTTTACTGACAGGCCTGCCTGCAGTGGGAGAAGGATTGAACCACAAAGCTTTGTGACCCTGAGGAAAGCTGAGACCAAAACCAAAGCAGGGCTCCTCACTACCTGAGTCCAAAACCCATCACTGACCCGTGAGCCTACATATCTCCTGTTTGATCTCCACAGCCACTACACCCAGAGCACATTGCTCAGGCCCATGTCCTGGCGGCCTGTGAAAGTCTCCAAGGAGGGAGACCCCACAGCCTCTCTGGGCAGCCTGTGCCAGTGCTCACTTCCCTGCACGGTAAGGAGGTGCTGCTGATGTTCAGCTGGCACCTCACGTGTTCCAGTTTGTAACTGGCCCCAGTGCCCCAGGTGTGGCCTCACCAGTGCTGAGGGGAGGGGAAGCTTCACGTTCCTCCACCTGCTGGCAGCACTGCTCCTAATGCAGCCGGGATGCCATCAGAGCCTCCCTTGCAGCAAGGGCACGCTGATGGCTCGTGTTCACCTTGGTGTCTGCCAGGACACCCAGGGCCTTTTCTTTTTGAAGAGAACAATCTGGTGGAGGGGATGAATGGGGGAGCAAGTCTTGAGATTTAACATTCAGGGTCCAGGCAGAAGGTGAGACTTCTGGGCTTTCATTCCTGCTGTCATGAATATTTTAGGTTTTAGATAGTGATTCTTCTATGTAAAGTGCAAAACAATCCTGTGAGTAAGGGAATGGTGTCCTGGACTTCTCCCTCCTAGATGATTCCCAAATCATTTGGTTATGACATAAAGGTGACCAACGCCCACAGCAAAATGCAAACAGAGTCGCTGCTATCTTCTGAAATCTGCTGTCAGGCCAATATTGAGAGAGGTATGCATTATGTATTGGCCTCAATCACAGAAATGAAGGTGTGGACTCTGAAGTCTAATGATTACATACTTCATCCAGAGTAACAATCAAAGTGCTTATCATAGCTAACTGGATGAAAGAAATGTTTCAGGATAAATGACAGTAGCAGAGAGACTGCTTTTTTTTTTTTCTGTACAGTTGCCCAGGACCGTTTAGAAAGAATTCAGACACACCCAAAGAGTCCCACGGTGTTAGATCCAGCCAGGAAATTGATTTTCTTTCTTCAAAATGATTCTGTGGAAAAACGTGAAGTGCAACCAGGAGTTCAAAGTCTTGTGGGATAAGAGGCTAAAAGTCTGCTTGGCAAAGGTGATTTTTTTTTTCTGGTTACTAATGAAAAATCCATTTTTTTTTTCTGGTTGATGCTGAAAATGCCTATTTGCCCATTTCTCTACGTTGCTTTTCTTCCCAGTGTAAACAAGTAAATGAAAAGGAACTGCTGCTCCACCAGTTATCACGAGGCTTGAGGCTTGAATCCAACCTTTTACTCACCTATCTCATTGTGGCACATGCAAATCACAGGGAAATCTGAATTAACCAGCAAAACATCACAAACCTGGGACTTGAGCTTGGCTTTAGGAGGTAGGATTAGAAAGCAGTTGGGTGGCCACCTTGCCTGTGGGCTTCTTCATCTTCGGCAAACATCGTTTGCTCTGCACGTGTTCCAAGCCAGTGGTGTCATGTTTTTCCTCGCAGACAGATCATAACCTCAGGCAGAGCGCAACTTCATACGTGGGGACATTTAGGAAAAAATTGGCATACTCTTCCATCAAGCAACAGTTAAAATCTGCAAAGGGATTAGCTGCCATACACTCTGGTGCTTGCTGACAGATGTCCTGAAAATCTGGAAACACGTCGATCTATCTTTGCATAGGGTTTTTTTTTGTTTTGTTTTGTTTTGTTTTGTTTTTTTGCTTCCCCCTCTTCCTCTCTCTCCTCATCCCTCTGCCCGGGGTACAAATGGGAATTCCTTTCACCAGCAGCCTGGGAACTGCCTCAGTGCCATCCATGGAGCAGCGAGCTGGTCCCAGGGGGCAATCTCAGCTGCACTAGACCCAGATACTCAGCCTGGCTGCGGTTGCCAGCTTTCCTGCGATGGCAGTACCGCTGCTTTGTACCAGGGAAGTTAGGGTTTTATCTCTGTTCCAACTGCAACCTCTCAGATCGTTTTAAAGGAGCTTAAATGTTGGCCATTAAATATAAATATCTTCTTTTTCCTCTGGGTGAAACCAGCGTGCAAAACTTTGCAGTGTAAATAAGGGCTGGAGAAAATGTTTTTAGAATTGTTTCAGCTCAGCTAAATGGCCGTGGCCACTTGTCCCCTCCATGCCCCTGAGCTGTAGGTGTGTCTCCTCTCCCTTTCAGCAATGTGGCAGAGGAGGTTTGACTGGATCATGACATCCCCCGTGCACATCTTCAGGCCAAAGGACCCTGATTTCTGTGGATTTTCTTGCATGGTCTTGGACAAATCACATAGGACGTTGTTAAAAAGTGTGGGGTTTGTTTGTTTGTTTGTTTTCTGCATGATTTGATTTCTGATTGCTCAATCTGCAGCTCTGAGGTGGCCTCTAAGAGGAGACAGATGTGTGTGCGGGCACAACCTTCTCTGAGTGATGTTCTTTTAAACCATCCATCTCTGCTCGGAGGCAGTCCCTCACAGCAGGTCAATCCTGCAGCTGTAGTTTAACCTCCCTTCATCTCTTTCCCCATATCTGCTTTCCTTCTGTGCAGGCAGGAGATCACTCTTCCTGACTTGAGGAGGAGTGGGGAGCCTCCAGCCTCACCAAAAATAAGTCTGGGGCCTGCTTGAGCCCAGTCCCCTGGCTGCTGTGCTGTGTTGCCACTACTCTTGCCGCACACTGAGTGAGCAGAGCACCTGGAGTCAGGGTGTGGATGTCCCTTTGCTTCCCCAGGGCAAAAGATACAACTCCCCATCACAGCTGCTGCATTACAACAGCTCCTGGCAGTTCGGAGGAAATCCACCCTCACTTCCCTGTCCGCACAGCAGCCGCCCATCTCGCTAGGGCTGTGGACACCCTGGGGGCTGCTGGTGCTAGAAGAGGCAGGGTGGGTGGGAGCACTGCCCGTGGTCACCCTGCCTGGGCTATTGCAGCACCCTGCTGCCAGCGAGCAAGCACGTGGTGAGGCCTCAACACACGGCCTCTTCAGGGGAAGGTGCTGCTCAATGGCCCGATTGTGCTGGGAGCACGAGGCAGCCCGGGCCTGCCTTCCTGAGAGCTTCCTCGTGGCCGCCGCGTGCTTGAAAGGCGCGTCTGTCAGACCACCATCTCCTTCCTCCTCCCTCGGGCACAGGAACAAACCCAGGGACAGACGGACGGACGCCCCCAGGGAGTAGGAGCCCCACCAGCAGCCAGAAATGCCTGGCTGAACCCAAGCGCTGACTCGGTTTCCCCACTGACGCAGGCTTGGGGAGGATGTTTTCCTCCGAAGTTGGGGAGTGTTTGCAACGTCCTCTGAGGAGGAGCGCCCTGGTGAACACTAAGCTATTTTTATTATTGGGGTCAGGCGGGAGAACAAGCGCAAAGGTGATGAGGCTTTTTAAACGCAGGTTCCCATTAATAGTCTTTAGCACACGCAGTTCTTGTTATAATCTAATTTGACTGGAATTGGATTAATCTTATAATGCTATAATGTCATTTCCATGGTCTTTTTATATTTTTATTGTTACTGTGCATTAATGCAATACTCTGCGAGAGCTCTTTGAAGAGGATGTGAATGTTTAGTGAATCTCCGATAACATTTTTGCAGGGCATTTTTTGTGCTTCTGTTAGGCTCCTACGTTGTGCAGTCACACGTACTGTAAAAACTAAGAACGCACCCAAATTCACCTCAAATTGTCTTGCAACAGGCTCTGCTGGTGAAAGCAATGTATTCAGAGCAAGGAAAGCAGGGCTCTGCTCCCAGCTTTTCCCTGAACTGCTCTGGGAGCTCACCTGAATCATGCTAGTGTTTCCAGCCTGAGATGGAAATAATTTGTCTAGACAGGAACAGAATGGGTCCCTGGTCTATATCCATTTCCATCTAGAAAACCCTGCTGGTATCACCAAGCTTTAATATTTCCTTCTCATTCAGTGTATCCTGAGCAAATGTTTTTTCCCCATCCTGTGCCCTGTATTTCTTAGTTCACTTTTTTTTTTTTTCCCCTGTTGCTTTTATTTATTTCTCTAGTTATACATCGTTTGAAGCATTAAAGATCTTTATCCTGCATACATTTAGAAATGCTGAAGGTTTTCTTCAAATTAGCCCCCCAGTGCTTGCTCTAAATACTCGTGGGCTTGTTCATGAGGCCTTATAATAGGAGACTGCACGCCAACAATACTAAGCAAGCTCAGTGATATCACACTGCGTGACGTTTCAGCCCCAAAATCACCTAAGAGAGAAGGCAAATAGACTGGTGTTTTCCATCAACTCTTATCATCACCTCTGTTCTTTTTCCAAGTCTCACTTGAAGGCAGTCTAGATGTAATTAAAGCTTAAGGGCCAAAGCGTGAGCTTCATTTTCAGCGCAAAGCCATCGCTAACCCTTTCTCTTCCACTCTTCCCCAGTCATTCTGCTCTCCGGCTCCTCTGTTCTCCGAGCATGACAAAGCTGCAAATTAAACCTCCCACTCTGAAAATGTCACAGCTTAACGTTATTAGCCTGCAGAAACAGAATTTGCTAGGTCACTAGGTGCTAGCTACCACTGGATCTGCCACAGCCACCGCGCCGGGAAACGAGTCCATACGGCAGTACCGACAGCTCTGAGTCCTGCGTGCGCAGCTCCTAGGGACTTGGCAGGTCGTACCGGGAGGCTTGGGACTGCCTTGGCGTGGCATGGGCAGGTTGGGCTCCTGCATTTGCAGCACCCAGGCCTGATCTGGGACCCAGTGCATAAGCAGAAGGGTCTCCTGCACAGGGTCCGTGCGGGATCAGAGTGCCGGGAGGGTACCTGCTTTGCGATTGCTGCCACTCCTGATCTCTCTCTTACTTTTATGAGCAGCCGAGCAAACAGGGGCTTCACTCACAAGGACGTTCGAGCATCTGTGCCCTTGAGAAGGGCGTCCTTCATCTCCAGGTCATGAACAAGCCCCCCGGTCCCTCGTGTTGCCCTAGCGAGCGTTTCAGCGCTCCCTGCCTGCACTTTCCGTGCTCGCCCGGCGCCGACGCCCGGCGGCAGCATCCCAATCCCATCCCGGGGGCAGCCCTCCCGGAGCGCCGGCACCGGGGGGGGGACACGTTGGGGACCCTTCTCATCTCGCAGCCCCCTAGGGCCCCCCTTCCCCTAAAAACAAAGAAACCCGCTTTACCCTTTACAACCTCGGCTTCACATCGGGGTGGCCGAACCCTTCCCGAGCGCCCAGCCCGACCCGAGCGGGCAGCGGGGGACGCCCCCAGCCCCCTTCCCACCCCTCGGGGGGCTGCCCCCGGCTCGGGGGGGGTCCCGCAGCCCTCGCCCCCCGGCGGGGGGAGCGGGGCGGGCCGGGGCGGGCCGGGGGAGGAGTTTGGCGGCGGGGAGGAAGCGCCGGGCACCCCGCGGCGGCGGCAGCGCCGGGCGGGCGGGCAGGTGAGGGCGGCCCCGCTGCTTTGGGGAACTTTGCGGCCGCGGGGCTGGCCTTTCACCCCCCTCCTCTCCCGGTATTAGCGGTATTGTTTTCATAGAGAGATTTATTTTTTAATTTTTTTTTTGGAAGTGCTGCGCTGCCGAGGCGCTCTCCCCCCATCCTCCTGCCTCCTTCCCCGGGGAGAGGAGGGGAGAAAAAGGAGGAGGAGGAGGAGGAGGAGGAGGAGGAGAAGAGGGGGAGGCTCGGCGGCCGCCCCGCTGCGGGGGCGATGCCCCCGCCCGCCTTGGCGCCTCCCCGTGCCGGCCCCGCCGCCTTCCCTTTGTGCCGCCGGGCCCGGCCCGACGCCCGCCCCGGCAGCGGCGGGACCTAGAGGCTCCCGGAGCCCCGCAGCCATGCCGACCCCGCCGCCGCACCTGGCCCCGCCGCTGCTGCTGCTCCTCTGCCTCGGTGAGTGCCGGCGGGACCCCCGGGGGTCGCCCCCGCCCAGCCCCGAGGCTGGGGACGCGGCTCCGGCGAGGCGGAGGGAGGAGGGGAGGAGGATGTCTGCGGGGGGGGGGGAAGGTTTCGCCTCCCCTGGCAGCCCCAGGGGGCGGCCGGAGCCGGGTGCCCCCTTTTGGGGCGAGGGGCAGGGCTGGGGGGAGCAGTATGGGGCTCTGGCGGGGTAAGGGGGGGACCCTTGCAGAAGGCAGCCCCCGCGGTGTGAAAGGCGGCTGGGCTGCTCCGTGCCGCCTCTCCAAACTCCTCCGGTAGTTCCTCCGTCCCTGCCCGCCCGCATCGGGTGCCCTGTGCCGGGACATCGTGTGCCCCAAGCCCATAAGCGCCGGGGTTTGTCGCGTCCCGTCCCGCGAGTGCCCGCACGCCGCCCTGCGAAGCGCTTCGGGATCCCGCTGCTGGGGGAGAGCTGCCGTCACCGTGCGAGATCCCCCCCGGCAAATTTGGGCAAGGCAGAACCGGAGACAATTGCGAGGCTGCTTTCTTTGCGGCAGCCTGCGAGCCTGGCTGAGCCCCGATGAGTCAATAGGAGCGGTTGTAGCAAAGACAGCACAGCACCCTCACGCTGCTGGTGCCTGCGTGTGTACGGAGCCACCTCGGAGTTGCCTTTTCGTTGGGGGGATTTTCTGCTCGCGCTCATGCTGGGGAAGCAGTGGTGAGGCTGGCGGTCTTCCTGCCCTAGGAATCGTCACGTACCTGCTCTGTGATTTGGAAACTACATCTTAAGTCACAGCCGTGCTCCCGTGTCTCTGATCTGCGTTTGTGCACGCTTGCATGTGGTTTCTCACGCCGCCTGTCCTTCTTTAGGAAAGAGAAAGAAAGGCAACTCTTTGAAATGGTTTTGGAGAGGGTTCAAACTTCCCCTAACCAGTAGCTTTCGCCTTTGGGTTCCCTGACAGTAACCATCTTAAAGCTAAGTTTATCCAGGGTGCCTCTGCCCCGCCGCTACGGGCAGCCTGCCATACGTAGCCCACAAGATGGGTGTAGATGAGCAGCGTTCGCTTGCTGCCTTGCATTTGCACACCAGATCTCCCTGGCTGAGGAGCAGTAACACCCTTCTCCTGGGTTAAGTGCTCCTAATATGGAGCAAGCAGCTCGTCGCCCCGAAGCGTGCCTGGCCGATGCGGCCGTGTAGCAGCAGAGGGCATTGCCTTGCCGAAGGCTTCCCAAGGAGGTGCACGAGTGGGACCCAGGGGCCTGTGCAAGGCACCCCATGGTGGTGCTGAGCCGTCTCTGGGTGCTTTCCAGTGGTTTTAACAAGGCCAGAGATGCGCGACTCAAAGCCTTGAGTTGTGCTGAAGTGGTTTTAGGTTGCTGTGTGTGAAGCTGAGACATCGTTGACTTACAGGGAGAGAGGCTGGGAGTAAAAAGCCTCGCTTTGTAGCATAAATCTTGGGCTGGGTAGGAAAGCACTAGCTTTCCAAACAAGCACTGTTAATGCTAGAATGTGAGGATAAGATACTGTGGGCTGAGTGTACAGGAGAAGAAATACAACTCGATTTTTCCTTACCGTTTTGCAAACTCATCAGAATTACCGAAGGAGGAGTCGCGGTTATGCAAAGAGCCGGCGGATGATTTAATGCAACGTATCAAGCATTAACTAGCTAACGGGATCCGAGTAACTGGAAACCCGGGGTTTGAAAACCCACATCTGGCACGTGGGTGTAACATTTGTAGATCTCTGCTGTTTTTTCCCCCTCTCGCTGCAGTGTTTGTTACAGGGTTCTTTAAACAAGTGGCACTTCATCACAGCAAGTACAAAATGGGAAAATAGAGCAAGTGCTGTAAATAATCCTCATGCAGCGAGGAGACCATTAATACTTGTGCCAGCCAGTGCTAATCCTATGTGTAGTTGTAAGATTTACCTTCTTTTTTTCCTTTTTTTCCGGGGATGCAAAGTCTGATACTACTCATATTTATGGTGTAATATATAGGAAACACAATAGGCTTCTGGGGAATGCTGAATTCATTCACGTTGGTGACTGGTTTATGAATAGTTCTGTCTTTGAGTCTCCTGCAGTATCCAGAATGCCACCTGTGAATGCAATTTACAGCTCTTTGTGTTCAAACATTGCATATGTATATATGTACATAGACTCATTACCCTCTTCCTCTCTCTATTCATGCATAGTAATTGGTGATTTATTTGCGATTCCTGGAGGGGAGTACAGCCTGCGGAAGGTCTTGAAACTGCAGATCACTTGTAAATGGCATGTTGGAGTGAAATAATGACGCAGGGGTGACTCCCAGGGAGATGGGGGATGATCTTACAGGCCTGGCTGCCGGCAGAGCTCGCCTGGTGGGGAAGGGGTGCTGGCTGGGGAGCTGCCAAGCGCTGCCGAAGCGCTCTGCTATTGCTCTCTCCTGCTTCGCTGCTGCTGACGGAGAAACGATGGAGTGGGTGTTTGCACACGCGGGCTTTGGGGTTGTTTGTTTACCGAAGCTAGCGGCCCAGGAGCGTCGCGGGAGCCTCATCTGCTCCCAGATGCATTGTTAGCATCGATGGCCAAGATCATGCTTGCTCCATCTGTGTCTGCCCGAAGTGCTCCGCTGTGAGCTTCCTTTTGCAAGCCCGTTGTGCTGCTGTCACCCTGTGTTCACTGCCCCTAGGTCACCCAGGTGCGTGCTGCAGGACCTGGACCATGTTTCTTTTGGGGTGAGCCTCGGGATGTCAGGCAGAGGCTGTGCGGCGGAGGCTGCCTTGCTATGCCTGCCCCAGCTGTCTGTGCTGGGCTGGAAAGCTCCTCTTGTGCACGTCCCCAAGTGTAATTCTTCCCGTCCCCAAATGGGATTCCTCGGAGGGAGGCTCCATCCCTTCAGTCTTGGCCAGGCTGCATGACATCCTGAGGCTCCAGCAAATCCTGTTTATTTACACAGGAGGTTTTGGTTTATGCGAATTGTTGTCTTCTAGTTGACCTTCCGTCAAGTTAGATTACTTTATTAAAGCGGTTTTTATTGTAAATCGAATGTGTACTTGGAACCAGACCCATTATGTAAAGTGAAAGGCGGAATAAACAGACACACAGACTTTGCAGGGGGGGAGGTCACATGGAGTTTGGGAAGGAGAGTGCTTCAGTGTTGGGAGACTTAGCAAACTTTTAGGACCAGGAAAGTGATTTTTTTTTTTTTTCTTCCCTCCTTCCTTCTGTCTCAGTCTTCTTTTGTACTCCTGCAAAGTCAGTGACACTCCAGCTGTTGTCACAAAGGTTATACAGACTAGTATGAAGCCAGAGGTGTTTTAGGTGGTGTAACTCAGATAAATCTGAGAGTGCTGTAAGCTGGAAGCATGCTCCTCACTGTGTGACAGATAGCGATCTTCAGACCCTGCCCAGAAGCTTACTAGGCTGGGAAAACTGCCTGAAAGAAAGGGGAAAGCTTTTAAAGCGCAATTGAGTTTTCTTCTTGTTGCTAGGGTTCTTCTGCTCGTGATGCGACTTGTCTGCTCGTACCAAGGATGTTCAGGCCCTCCAGCCAGTGTCTGGAAAACTGCAGCGTTATGATTTGCCTCTGGCTTTTGAGTTACTAAATACTCCTTAATGATAACCTGCTAAATTTGTCTCGACACCATTTTTGTATTGCCGTCTATTTTCTATTCCATGAAATGCTCTTAAGGAATGGTTCTCTGGTTAAATGTCTGGTGACATTCAGCATCTGTTTCCCATCAGCTATGCAGAGGCTCAAGTCAATGCCTCTCCAGACAATGTGGGGTTTGAGTAAATTGCAGGGCAAAGAAGTTGAGTCTGCAGCTGCCTGCTATGGGCCTAGGGCAGCTGCCCTGCATTTATGTCACTACCAGCTCTAACCTGTTGCTCACCCTGTCCCCATTAGTGTATTGAGAGCATGTTTCCAGTGATGCATGTTAGCAAGCTTTTTGTCATTAGGAGGTTTAAGTAGAAAATGGCAAGGAGACAAGAGGAAATCTTGCCTTTCTAGCTGCTGCTGAAGTCGCATTTCAATAA